GGGGGCAGGTGCTAAAAGGACAGGCTGCTGCGGGGTCGGGGAGCTCGGAGGGGTGGGTAACCTGAAAGGGGTTGCTTCACGGCAGCAGCGGCAGAGGTAGCACTCCTCTGCGACTGACTCTCAGAAGCCGTAGAGGAAGAGGAGGAGGAAGCAGAGGGGGCCGCTCGCTGACCCTGTCCGGGGGGATCGGCCAGCCGGAGCAACCTCTGCAAACGCCTACACACTAAACTTATGGGCAGCCGATGAGGACCGTACTCTGACAGAGGGGCAGAGGAAGAGAGGCAGAGTGAATGAACCATTAGGAGACGGAGGGTGGAGGATGTGAGGAGCAGAGAGTCGAGGATGCCGAAGGAGAAGAGAGTGAACCGCAGCCGCTGCTTGAGTGGAGTGGCTCCAATGGACAAACACAAAGACACACACTCACACACACACATACAGAGGATTCCGAGTTACCCCGAGGACATCAGCTGGCAAAACGTGGATCTGAACGTTTTCCGTCTGGAGAATCTTGTCAAAGTGTGTGTGTTTTAGTGTGTATGTGTGTGTTTGTGTGTGTATGGGCTTCTACCTGAGACAGCGGGTTCGGAGGTGGGTGCAGCTGTTGGCAGGGGGGTCCCCGTCGTGTCAGCCTGACTCGTCTGCTCCGAGTCTGGGGAGGAGGAAGGAGCTGCGCTTTCTACTGAGGAGGAGCTAGACGTAGGGGGAGCTGTGACTTTAGATAATGACCCTGAGGAGGAACAGGAAGCGGATTTAGGCAGGGGGGCTGCGCTGTTGGCTGCAGCGCTGGCGGGCACGTCTGGGGAGTCGGTCCCCTCCGGCCTCTCCGGGACACTGGACTCCTGGGTGGAGTCCGCTGTCGGGGCAGCTGGAGTGTTTGACGCCCCCTCCGGACGCACAGCTGTCCCTGGAAATGAGACGATGATGGTTACAAAGTTTGAAAGATCCATCTCAGGAATAATCTACAGGCTTTATGGTGCCATTATAATGTCTATATCAGCTACATTTCTATAAATTCCAGCTCGTTTTTCATACAAATACACCAGGCCGAGGCCTCACCTCTAGGTCGGGTCTGAGGTCGGGTTCCTCTGCTGCTCTGAGCTTCACTGGCCTCCTCGAACCATCGGGACAACATGTCCGACATCCGCTGCATCAGGGACACGTTTGGGCTCTGCTCCCCTAAAGGAAGAGTTAGAAAAAACATCCGTTCAGAGGACATTTGCTTTTGCCCCCAATTAAATAAGTGACAGGGGTTTTGGCAATTTAAACTCCAGATGTTTGTGTGAAGCAAACATGTCAAGCCACCAATGGATGAACTTGTCACATTTTTAACTCCAGACAAAGCTCCAGGGCCATCTATTCCCGTTGGATAACCGTACCCCTCTGCCTGATGGACTGAAATCCAGGAGAGAAATGGAGCTTGTTTAGCCTCCTAAATTTCAAGTGATCAACTGTATAAAAACAAATAAAAAAATATGTAAAAGCTAATTCTGAGCACATATACACTATATATTTTAGAAAAGAACAGAAAAGGTGAAAGAAGTATTTCAGATGTTAGTGGAGCTACACACCAGTTCTGAGTCTTTTGGACCATGTGCATGTAATAGAGTTTTGTATAGAAGAGCCACAGAGACAGTGTTGGGGAACTCAACAAACACCCGCAATACTTTTTACCTGGTGGGTTTACCGTGGTGGTTCAAATAATATGGCTATATAAAATTTAAGTTAAGCAGTGGTTCTACTTAGCTCAAAAGTTATTATTATGGTTTGAGGGCCCATGACAGCAATGCTTCCTTTGAGAAAAGGCAGCCATTCCCATGGAAAAAGACCTGGTTAGCACAAAAATGACAGCCATGGAGAATGAAAAAAGAATGCGGAAAGTATTCAGATTGCCAGAAAGAAGTTTTGCTTTTTATTATATATTTTCTTTGGAGTAAAATAAAGTCAAAATGGGTGAAAAAAATAAAATAAAATAAAAACCTTAAAATATTGTGACATGGATGGCTTTGGGTGCTCTATGGGGCAATTTTGAAATGGGAGAACATTACGGAACATACTGTGATCTTACCATCTCTTTCCCTTTCACTCTCAGGACGAGCTCGGGGTCCGGTGTCAGACCAGTCACCTCGCAGACGGAGACGTTTCACAGGGGGCTGCCTGAGCTGTGGAAACACACACACGGAAAGATTAGCAGTTTATCAGTCAAAGCATGGTCAAAAATAGCCCCGCTGCCAAAGCAAAACACTGTTGGTCTCTGTCGGTGTCCCCTCTAAATTTCTCCCTCCCCACTGGCTGCCTGACTGAGGTTGCCTTCTCTTTCCAGTCCCCTGGCTTAGTCTCTGCGGAGCAACAGGCTGTGAGCCAGACAGAAAAAAACAGGAACTCAGTGGAGTGGACTATCAACTGCTTTCAACAGGGAATGTTGTGAGGTCTGAACAGGTGGTGGAAAGCAGCAGGGGCTGGTGGAGATAGTGGAGTCAGAGGGGGGGAAAAAAAGACAAACAAATGAGTGGTGGGTTCAGAAAACGAGAGAAGAGACGGGCATCTACCTCTTCTTTGACTGCCCCCAATCCGCATGTCTACACCTAAGCCTGAACTATTTTAGTGGGCTGAGGAACGCTGCCTGCGTCCGTCGCTGTATTTGGAAAGGAATGTGTGGCTGGGTCTGGACGCAGCTGAACTCTGAAACACTGTGACCGTGATCCAGCACATTTAGACGCACGTGGAAAACAAAACACAGACTTGTTCGTTTGACAGCTTTCCAAACGATGGGCCGAGAACAATTGTTGCCTTCCGGATATAAAAAGTCAGAACAAAGCAGATCGGTGAGAAACCCCAAAGGCTTCTCCCTGCAGTTCTTCCCCTCTCCGCTGTCCGGTGACGTAGTTTTAAGGTCCATTTGCTTCTCTGGCTGTGTGTGCATCAGCCAGCAAAAACTCAACACTGATAGCCATAGCGCTCGCAGAGACGGATAGCAGAAAGTGCTGCTATGTTTACCACAAACAAATCCTTTCACCCTCTAGAGAAGAAAATAAGTTATGTGGCGTCCTTTGTTTCGTCTAATCTTATTTGACGTTATTACCTACCGCTGGATGCAGATTAAAGCTATCCAAACATTTCAGAACTTTGACATTAAACAGGAAGCGTCATATTTAGGCTGTCATTGCCTGCAGTGTTTGGAAATGATGTCCTGTTCTTACTTCTGTGAACCGCGTCACACTGGGAACATGAAAGCTGGTCTTCTGTGTCAGAATGTCGCCATGACATCACTAAACCCGGAACTTCTCGCTTTCTCGTACATTCCTCTCTTTGGCTCTGTGATGCGCTGGCACACGCTGATGGTGCACCAAATCGAGACCCTGTGACAACCTCTGCAGCATCCAGATGTCCTGCTCTGTTCCAGCAGCGCGAGCAGCAGATGTGCCAGCGTGAACTAAATGCCCGACACACACACGGGGCGTTTGGAAGCCAGACAAAAAAAATGTAGTCTTGAATGAACGAAATCGGTGACTGCCAAATACGTTAGCCGCAGACTCTGCATTAACCAGCTAATCCCCACCCCGCACTATGCAAAATTGATCTTAATTATCACGCAGATTCCCTCCTCCTTCTTCCTGCTGGATTCAACAGAAATACTCCTGTCTCACCACATTTTATCCAGTTTACCCACCAACCGTATGAGAAGAGGCTGATTTTAGAATGGCTTAATATGTAAGGGGCTCATGATTAGTAGATGTAAATGATAGGCTGTAGTTCTAACTTGTACAACATTAGTGACAGTAAACTGTGTGATGACAAAGGAAAGGGCGAAATCAAGCTCTGGCTCTCACCTCCTCCCTTCTCTCTTCCGACGGGCCTTTGAGCTCACGGGCCTGGTCGTCTTTGGGGTCAAACAGATAGATGTAATCGGAGGAGTAGCTGACCAGCACCTCCTGCCCGTCCTCGCTGTAGCAGAGAGACGTCACCCTGCACGACTTGTTGGACAGGTGCGCGGGGACAAACCGAACCACCATTCCCGTCGTCCCTCGGCCCATGTAGTTACCTGAGAGGGACAGAGACAGCGATGGAGGTCAGACGAGAGGCCCATCGTAAAAGGGGCTGTTAGACCACTCCCACGGCGGGGGGGGGGGGGGACCAGGGGCGGGGGCCCCCCGTGGCTCTGGTGCCCAGCATGCGTCTGTCGTAGATTCGCACCGAGCTGTCAGAGCAGCCTACGCCCAGATAGTACGGTACGAGAGGAGAGATGGATATGGAGGTCGCCGCTCTTCTGCAGTTTATTAGGATGTCCTGAAGTTTTTCAAAATGAAATCATTTTTTTTTTAAAACAACACAGAGTTGTGACATTTAAAACATTGCGATGATATAAAATCTGCTCAATAAATTCTCTCATTTTTCAGCTCTGACAGGACCACATGGGAAGATGTGACACATTTAAAGGAATAAACAGAACCTCTGACCACCTTTGGGACTCTGGTGTGGTTAGGATCTTGTTTATTGATTGGTTTATGGAGGGCCAGGTGATTGCATGCGCACCAAAACGAAGAACACGCAATGAGATTAGATGACATCTGATTTAAACCATGTTTGCCACTTGCTAATCGCCGTTTACGAAAGTCCTGGTGACCCTTTACACTTGCTTTCCCACTTCTTGTGCCACGGGAAGGCGGGGCACACTGAATACCAACAGAGCTAAGAAGGAGCAGCGAAAGCGTCTGGGAAATTATTCCAACAGGTTTAAGGTCACGGGTTTTGATCAGAAGCATGAAATACGAGAAGATGCAACACAATCTCACAGTTTCTGTTTCACATTCATCAGCCAAAGCGGCCCGGACCAAGGCCAAGAAAACTGTTTGCTGAAGCTCTCCAGACTGAGCTGTTAGGAAAGAGAGCGCTCGTGTCTGAAGATCTGTCACACTCTGATGGATCAAAAAGGCTAATCTTGGGATGTGACACCTCTATCCTGTGCCACCGAGTAAATATCTGAACGAACTTAAGAGTTATGTTTCGGCAGTTTCCCCTCGACTAACATAAAACTTCTCTGGTAAAGATGACAGATATTGCAACACCCCCCATTACAGTGTTGATACTCAGAGAAGAAAAACATCCCAGCTGTCACCGTACGTCTTTGCAGTCTTCCTTAGTGCAGCTGGTTTTCGTCCGCAGGTCAAACCACCGCACCGTGCCGTCCTCACCGCAGGACAGGAACGTGTAGGGGTCGTTTGGTACTGTCATAATCTGGCGGGACAAAGCCAAAGTTTAGGGGACGGGGGAGGAAACGCAGAGCCCGGCGTTCCTGCAGCAGCGGCCCCCGTTCGGCACCTCGTATGCTGTTCCGTAATGGCAGGTGAACTGACACTGCTTGTTGAACTCAGGGCTCTTCTCTGTGTGGGTGTAGTAGATGATGCCGTCTCCAGAGCAGGAGACGATTTCCTGATCGTTGGTGTGGGGCATGAACTTCGCACTGAAGATGTTTGCCCGATGACCTGAACGTATGGACTTCTTGACCTGAGGGAGGAATGGAAAAATAAACTATTCAAAGAGCACATGAGACTGTCGATATATGCCATACAGAGGGGATGTCTGGCTGTGGTTTTCCCATTTTCCAACACAGACGGGCAGAGGTTTTCCATCTGAGAGAAAACTAAAATGTATACAAGGATCACGTAACACCTGTAGGAGAGGTGGTTGTACACAGAGGAAATGCTCATTTATAAAATTAAGGGGACATTTTATTGACCAAATAAACCCTGATAAACTGTTTATAGCACTTTATATCTTATAGAAACACAATATGGAGATATAAATCCCTTTTATTTTTTGCCGTGGTAGCACAAAAAGCTTCGCACATGTTTTCACACCTAATGAATCCCTTCAACTAAGAATATATGCACCAATTTGTTCATTTACCACCAAGTTACAAACTAAGATAAAAATCCAAGACAAATGCGTCCGTTTGATTTAACTTTCTGAATCTTATTTTGGTCTAATTTTTCTGTTGGGAGCATTATCAAAGCAAACTTGTGAAAAGACGCTGTGCCCATGAGACGATCAAAAAGAAATAGAACAATATTTCATTCATCCCCCGTGGGGGGTATTCAGATGGTAAAATATGTTCAAAATTTAAATATTCACAAGTTAACATTATTTTAAAAAAAATCATAAATAAAATGTAATAAATAACTAATAATAATAATAATACTCTGAGAAGATGTATTAGCTGTTAAAAAGCCTTATGGCTGCTGGAGGACAGGAGCTCCTGAACCTTTCAGCCTCCTCTCTCCTGCCAGGAAGCCGTGGATGGGGATGTTTATTGTTCTCCAAAAGAGAACAGAAAACAACTGCTCTGAAGCAGGTCAATGGTCATCATAAATTCAAACCCACCTTCTTGCTGTATGGGCTGGTGATGACCAGAAAGGTATCGTCTGACCCTGAAAGGATGTATTCACCCGTGTCGTTCCAAGATATTGTGTTGACCTGCAAGGAGATGGAGAAAAAAAATAACACCTCTCCCTCAGATGAGGTGTCAGTCCAACATGTTGATCCATTACCCACTTTGTCTCCATTATCCATTATCACTGCTCGATGTTGACAAATGAAACAGTGCAGTAAGGTCACATGATTCAAAACTCCCCATATAGCCTTGTGATAATTCAATTTGAGAGGGCCACCGTGTTTATTTGCATTGATCAGTTTCACACCACAGATTAAAGTATGAATTTAATGACATCAACAGAAACCAATTGAAATCAAGTTCTAGTGTCCAATCATGTCAGAAGAATGTCAGGCATCCTAGCGACACATGGAAACGTTGACTGTTGTCATCTGATTCCTGAGTGGAGGACTCCCTGGACGAGTGGCAGAAGAGAAACAGAAACCGCTCCTAATATTTACAGAAATCTTGTTTTGCTACGTTTTTTTAGTCCAAAAAAGCTTGAAAGATTAAGAAGCTGTGATGCATCTAAAAAGACGACAACGAATGTTGTTTGCTACTACAACCTTTCTTTCTATATTCATTTCCCATCTCGTTAACATTCATGTAACGGTGGATTCCGTCAGTTTCTGGTCACACAGTAAACAAAGAAGCGCATCACCTCGCCGCCTGCTGTCACTGTGTGGATCAATATTTCATTAAGACCGGCGGGCTCATAGTGTTTCATCATCACAGGTCGGCTCTGCTGCAATCAGGGAGATCAGTGTGCGCTCAGTGACACTGACGAATGAGCATCTGACGAAGGACACCAGCAGTGACATGCGTGACATGTGCAGAGGAGTGCATGCCTCTTCCCTTAACATTATAGATGATGGCTTTTATTCATCATGACCACAAACGCTGGTTTGAGGCAGTGTAGAAACACGCAGATTGTGTCTACATTTTTTTTTTACCAATTGCGTAAAATAACTTCCCCGTTTAACTTAATTTTGCAACATTTGAAGACCTTCCTTATATATTAAAGCCCTAAACTAAGTGTCTTAGATGCAACAAAAACAACTGATGTTACGCCTCTTGTTTTATGCAAAACTCTGGAATAAAAGTATGGCTGGTGGACGAACTGAGGAAATCTGCGACTGCAATCACAATCAAAACTGCAAGAAGTCTGAAATCCATTTCTTTGATCGTCCAAAAGCTCAGACACTGATTTCCATATCATGAACATGAGCTTTATGATTTTATCTCACTGAAGTAAAGACAAATACTGCTCCTCATTCCAAGTTCAGAAAGAAAGGGTTACTCATAGATTCATCTTTTACCTCTTTCACCTTTCAATACACAATAAGCAATAATTTCCCTTTTTTGGCAATAGGAAATGTTATTAAACCATAAGACTCTACACAGCAACACCAAGATATAATTCACACCCAGATGGTAAACCCTTTAACCCGCTTTCCTTTTCACTTCTGGAAACTCAACAACATTCGTAGATCTTACATTTTTTGGTATGCCTTAAGCCAAAAGTACACCTGCCTCCTTATCTTGAGCTCTGTGCATTGTGGAGGGAACTGTTCCCGTGCACGCTGATGTGCCAGGCCTGCTGCAGGGGGCTGTGCAGGATGTAAATAACGAGACTGCACAACTCTTGGTGTTATTTGAGGCCCTGAATCAAGGTCATTGCATATTGGGTCAAATATATCCTGCACTGGCCCAACCGGACCGCAGGAACGTGGCAGACATTTCTGAGGATTGACGACAGCAACCTCTGAACAAATGAGAATTAGTACCATGAAACTGTAATCAGTGAGACAGTTATTTGTCATCAGGCTACCAAAAATCATTTTAAAAAATTAAAACAATGATGGAAAAATCACTAAAACAATCTTCTTCATTTAAATGAGAACTCAGACAAAAAAGGGTTGGTCAGGATCCTCAAAGTAACTGTCAATATTTCTTTAGAGAAAAAAAACTATTCAAGTAATTCACAGTAATACAGATCTGTCTATAGATATTCTTGTTTGCAAATCATCCCACTTTTGATGCTGCTAACATGGTACATCATAGTAGATGTAAATAATGATCATCGGTTCATAGTGTTTGTTCACAGCCGAACCAGAAAACCCGGTAATGAGCAGCTCGGGTTAAAAGAAGCCCGTCTCTCCTGGCTCTTACGACATGTGGGGGTGATGCTGTGTTTTGAACTGATGTCTTGGCTGATAGCTTGAAGAGATGTGTGACTGCTCTGTCTGTATCAGGTTTCTGAGAGGCATCAAAGACCTGAGCTGCAGTCAGAGATCTGTTCGACTCCACATACGGAATGAGGGAAAACACTGCAGGCCGCTTCGGTGGGCAAACAAACTATACATTTAAAAAAAAAAGGGAAAAAAAGGTTAATAGATGAAGAAATGAGGGGTTACTTACGCAGCCATCGTGCACGTTGAGTGTTGCTTCAAGTTTGAGCCTCTGGACAAACTCTCTTCTGCCTGGGGAGAGAAAAGCATGCATATTTAAAAGGTTTTCTGTCGGATTTATCTGCTTAATGTTAGTGCAACAGGAACGTGGCGTCAGATCCCGTGAAGATGAATCAAAAGGCCTGATCAATAATCCAGATGTCTTCAAACAACCTAACTAATGTGTGTGGTGCTTTTAGTTGAGCCCAAGTGTGCTGGGCTTTATTACGTAGCCTTGTTTTTTTTTACCCTGTTTAATGACATAAAAACACAAATGGGAGTCCGTCACCTAGATTCTACAAAGATCCTCACAAACTCTCCACACTTGTGAAATGCTTCGTATATATTCAAACTCTGCATCCAGGGATGAGGACGGAATAACATGTCCAGGAAACCATTATGTCGAGGGACTGGAGATCAAACCCATATTCATCAAGCTAGAAGTCAAACGCTCTGTAGAAGTCCATGAAAATGTCATATGCAATATTAAGTTAAAAAAAAAAACATTATTCTTTTAGCAGACAGGAAGCCACAAAGCAAAATGGAGATGCACGAGAAAATCTGTGGACATCCAAATAAAAGCAGTGTTTAAAAAATCCCTTTTGTGTTCCAGTAAACGGTGTTGGCGTCCCAGTTGCTGAAACTCCATCAATGACATGACATCCATAAGAATACGGATCATGAGGGTGTGTAAGGAAGGACATGATACACCCTCCCTCCTTTTCCCTGCGAATCAAACATGTCAGAGAAAATTTGTGAAAGCTGCAGTCTCCTGAACAGAGAGATGGGACGAGCAGCGACAGGTCTCCTCGGTCTGGGGCCGACATGGCGTCACATATCGAAGAGACACCATGAAACCGACACACTGCTTTGGTGAGAGTAGAACTGCTTCACGTTTTAGCTTTAATCATTAACAGTCTTTAAATCTCACAAATAAACCTGGGATTATTTGTTAATGCAGTTTCTAAATAGATATTTATGTCATATTTTTGCTTAAATAACTCATAACATTGGGTAATGGCGTTTATAGCGATGTTTTAACTTGTAGTTGCAATTGGCTCCTTTCTTAGGATCTACAGCTTTTATCAAATATGCTCAATTACCTTTTTTTAAATGTATTACCTACTAAGACCAAAATCAGATGTATGATATCTACCAATGCCTTAACATTTAATGCAGATAGACTGAGATACGATCTGGGGACTTCAACAGTTTATAGTCAGAAAAAGAAAATAAATCAACTCAGCGGCTCTCAGGACGTTTCTCCCGGCTTGCAGCACGTGACTGTTCCAGATCACAGTGCTCCCCAACTTGTTACCTCCTGCTAAATATATCCAACGGGAGCTGTGACCCACACATCCCCGCATGCAAGCCCCGCTCTGACTTTATCTCAGCCATGCTAAAAACAGCCCTGACTAAAGCTGGCGAGGCACCAGCCCCTCCTCATCAGGATCACAGCTCCCCATTCGACCACGAGATGCCCACTTTTTGACATGACGTCCAGCAGACAATGAGTGTGCGTTCTGAACTCTGTGCAGCCCAGGCCTCCGCTCACACTCCTGTGGTTTACTCTGCCGCTCAGATGACGACAGGGAAACTGTCAGGTTTCTCTCAGCTTAACAGATCTGACTATGAAGCACAATAAACTGTTCATTTTATATCTTCAAACGCTGACTGCACATAATAAAAAATAAGTGAGGACAGATGGATAGGAAAAAAAACATGAACAAGTGTCTAAACTTAATCAAAAGATAAAAAGCCTTCTGAAAAGCTTACAACCTTGAAGGTGAGCGCAACACAAGTAGAAAAATAACTGCTGGCTTCTGCCCACTGGCCCCATAGCTTCTTTATCTAGAAGGTATTGGACACATATTCAACCTAGTTTGAGGTTTTTGTAACAATTTCAACAGAAATCAGTTCTTATTGGGAGTATGTTGTCATCAAGGGCTGATTCCATTCACAGTGTCCGGTTAATTGAAACTGAAATGTGGCATTGAAAGGAAAAGGTCTGTGTAGAACGTCAACTTTCCTCCATGCTCCCTTTTTATTGATTCAACATTATTTGTTACAGAAAAGGAGTTGATTACTGAACAAAACCAGCCACGAAAAACAACACAAAGATGTTGCAATGTTCACAGACTAAAGATAGAAAGTTCCATCTCTATTTCCACCTCCAACTTCAAACAAGCTTCTCTGGCAAATCTCTGCCATAAAGACTTTCCATTAGAAAAGTCACTGCCAACAGAGCACCCTATAAAACCAGGAAGCCCTGATGATTCCTGGTAACACATTAAGGACATTTAGGTTTAAAAAAATCACAAACTGCAGCATCAAATCAGGTTTCCAACTAAATCTAAACCGATCATCTCTATAGACAAACCTCCCCCTGTGGTGAGATGACCTTTGGAATTGATGGGTGTCTCCCCAACATAAAGTGAAACATGATCCTGCACATGATGGCAGTCTGAGCATTGGGTGCATAGTGGGTAAATTCATTTGTATCTTCACTGAGATTCTCAGCACGGGACCTGTCTGCTCCATTTCATCATCAGAGTCACACCGTTTTGCGACATCTACCTTAATTCCCACTGAGCAGAACTTGCCAAGTCAGTAAGTCAGTCAGTCAGTCAGTCAGTCAGTCAGTCAGTCAGAATATCAGGATGCTAAACTGGTGGAGCTTTCTAATAAAGAGCAACGTTAGATGATTCATCTCTGGTCGGATAAGATTACAGTGCTTGATGTTTCAGGGGGAAACGTCCAAGTTTGGTGACATGTGTGTGTGCGTGTGTGTGTGTGTGTGTGGAGATGCAGCCTGCAGATGATTCATGTGTGGCACAATCCTGTTGTTGCAATGCCATTGCGTCGGAGCTGCCACCTCTTTGCAAAATAGTGGAATATCTGGATGAGGAGATTAATATGATCTATGGTCCGACAAGTGAGCTGCTCCGTTAAGGATTATCCATAACCCTTAATCTCATCAGTGAAGTGTTTCAGCTCCGGGATAGCGCGGACTGAGTGTGCGGGAGAGGACTTCTGTGTTGACACAAGAGAAGCCGCAGCTCTCTGCTGCTAAGCAGGTAGTTTCATTTGGCTCGGAACAGAGTCTGATAGCCAATTCATCTGGTACAGCAGCATAAATCCTGTCCGCAGACACGCAGTCTTAAATTCATAGCTTGTTCTTTAAAAACAAATGCGTTAGCATCAAAGTGCGGTGTTTTGTTCTTACCCAAGTAGTTGGTCCTGATGGTGTTGGGCTCGTTGTATCCAATTAAACGTTTATTAACGTCCCAAACCAGGTTGCCAGTACAGGACATTGTGACCATACGTGGGTTTCAATTGACAATAACATTAAACTCAGCTAACCCTCCTCCAGACGATGTTGTCTTTTATCTACTGCCTGTTTTCCATTTGGCTCCGTCCCTGTCCGTCGGGACGGCATTAACTCTCGGCAGCATTCAGCGTTTGCATTGCTGGCAGTAAAAGACTCCTCTCCGGTCTTCGCTGTTCCCCCCCGAGTCAACCCCAACTGTGTCCCAGCTCCGTAGGCTGCTAACTATCTGTCCTGCTGTTAGCCTAGTCTGGTTTATTTCTTCCAGCGGTCAGCTGTGTCCAAACAACGCGAGAAACTGTGGGGTTTTGAAAGCAGAAAGGCAAGGTGCGCTTGATTTGATCCGCTTGGTAGAAATTGGGGCGGAGTGTACGTGGAGAAGGTGGATACTATTCTTATTTCGAAACCTAATCGGAGACATTGGTCCCAGATTTGCTTCTCAGTGTCTGCCTTGAAGACAAGTTCCTATCTATATAAAGGGGAGATATGAACATTGTCTCTGGACATTCAAAGTTATCTTATTTTTGGGAGGAAGAAACAACTTTATGTTAAATGTGGAATTGGTTTCAAATAATAAATTACAAAGAGTTAGATCGGTAAAGATTAATTCAACAAAACATCAGTAAGATACAATCACTCTCTTCTATCTCTAACGGAGAAAATATACAATTTATGGCATTTTTTTAAAACTCCCACAGAAAGCAGCGTGCTACGATTTATGACTGTTAAATATGTATATTATATGTATTATCAACTATAATTATTTCTGTAATAACAAAATGCAGTTTTTCAAATTTTATGTTTACAAATGTTGCAAACTATCCCTTCCCATATCATATAGGTAAGCATTAACCCTGCCTTTAACCTATTTAAAGTTTGAAGAGACATTATACGCACTTTGTCTCTAAAGTTGTTTCCACCTAGTTGGGACTGGTTGGACACTAAAAGCAACAATCCCCACGAAAACCAATCAAACCGGGGCCCAGACCAGGTGAACCAATTGGAATCGCAGATATCTCTAACTCCGCCCCTCACGCGGAAGGCTGCGTTGCCGAAAGTCACCTCGTCGAGTCGGTCAGGGTGAAGCTACAGACAGCTAGCATGGTCATAGTGTTGCTGGAGTAAGGTCGATAGTAGGACGACAACTTGCTTCTCTGAGTGCAAACCTTTCTGGCTTTTATATAAGCCACGCAAAGACAAGCTTAGTTCAATTCAGCGACAGATACTTGGCGAGCTAATCTTCCAGCGAGCTAGCTTCTTTAGTCCTTTATCCTCCTCCATACCTTAACTATACGATCATGGCTGCGCTCAGAGCATCCTACCACAGGATTTTGGATAAGATCGAGCATATGCTGCCCGCAAAACTGAGACCTCTGTACAACCACCCTGCAGGTACCGTGTAGCCCTGCAAATGTTTGCGATGCTGTCTGGTGTTTTGGTGTGGGCTGACCACCCGGCTTTGGTGGGATTGATGATTACGTGTGTCCGCGGCTGTCAAGACATGATCAGCTGTGCGTAAATACCTGAACAACACTGAAGTCACTGTTTTTGACGGAGACCCTAATCTGCTCTAACCCCAGCTATGCCGCCCAGTCCGTAAAGAATTGTACATGGCAGGGAAAGTGTGCTGCTTCCTATAGCTTAGATGAGGCTTTACTGTGATGCTGAGGTGTTTGGGACCAAATCTAGATTGACTTCAGCCAACGCAACTCATGTCACAGACCCTTTATCTGTCAGCTGTGCAAATGAAAACTCAAATGTTCACAGTCAGCATTATTGTGTTGCAACTATGAGCCGTGTTTGCATTGAGAGAGGAGCTTTCCCAAACAGAGGCTGGTCAAATGTTCAGTGTGATCAGGGAATCCTGATCAATGTGGTTAATGTCTTACCCGTTAGACTTCATTTTCTCAGTGTCCTTATAATCCATTTCATTTTAAACTGAAAGCCCAAACTGGGACATAAGAATATATAAATCTACCAACTGATTGTCTAAAAAAAAAAAAAAAAAAATTTTTTTTTTAAATACCTCAGGTAAAATTATACTAAATGGATGGAGTAACCAGCAAATTCCTTCCACATTTGTACTGGATGGACATGTTTCTGTTTAGCTCTAGTCTTTTTCGTTAAACCTGCGGCTCTTTAAACCACACCTTGTTCTCATAAAGTGTGTCAACAACCCAGTTCACGTGAACTTGTGAGCATAAATATAAGGGAAACGTGTGTTAGATATAATGCAGTGAATCAAACCGAATGTGTGTGTTCTCCATCAAGGCCTCTTGGACTGATATTAGTTTTGGGGTAACTGAGATTACGGGGTGACTGGCGTCACAGTGGCCTTTGTTTGGTCTGGGAAACGGAGCTGGGGCTCCTTTAGTCAAGGGCATCTTTTTGACCAGGTGTGGAGGGGCGGTGACACATGCCAACTCCCTCAAAGGTGATTTGCAGAGACGGCCGTCCTCCTTTTTGTTTGGTCCGCTGCATTGGTCTGGAAAACCTGGCTCCAGACCAACAGTTTATGTTCCCTAAAGCCCTTCAAGACCATTTTTATGTAATCATTAGTTTTATGATGATGATTATTAACATTCTCTTTTATCTGATATTTTTTATAGATTAAAAAGTGTGCAAGGAATATATCTACTGATGTACTACTTCAACTTAAATTTGTTTTGTTCAAAATTCAAGTCATGCTTTGCCCACACCACTTTCATTTAAATGTAATAAGATATTCTTTCTGTTATTCTCTCTATCAATCCATGGTGCTGAATGAAATTTATTTAATTATTATTTAATTACTCATTTATAAAGTGTAATTCAAAGGGAGAAAGGGGCCATTTAAGCTTTTAACTGGAAGGGTTTTATGTGTTTTGTATTTTCATTCTATATTACGACTGCGGCCAGAGCATTTTTGACGATGAAGCATTTATTGATACTGGATATATTTCTCTGTATTTGCAGAAATTTACTCTGTCAGCACATAGATTAACAATAACAAGGGTTCTACCTGAACTTAAACCAAGATAGTTTGTGGACCTAATGTTCCATGCGTACAATCGATTTCAGGCTGTTATATTTGTATGTTTCATATAATCCTTTAATGTGTGAATATCTTTCTTACTCAATCCATCATCTGTTTATTTATTAAATCTCTTCTTCTTTTTTTAACTCCAGGTCCAAGAACAGTTTTCTTCTGGGCCCCGATGTTTAAATGGGTGAGTGGACCTTTACACAGTCTAACGCAGTCGTTCCATCAGCATCACCAGGAGAACGTCAGCGACACACTTTGTCTTACTTAGACACTTTAAAGAGCTCCAAAATCGGAAAAGAAGAGGGAACCAGCGCCAGCTTGTTCTCTAATTGAGTGTAAAAATTGTGATGGTGTTAAGATGGTTTGGTTCCTTTCATGCAGGGTCTGGTGTTTGCTGGTATGGCCGACATGGCCCGGCCTGCGGACAAACTCAGCCTCTCCCAGTCTGGAGTGCTGACCGCCACAGGTGAGGCTCCCATGCACTGGGGGGGGGGTCCTCTGTTTGAGCTGGACTCATGAACCCGTTCTGCCATAGTCCCACCAAACTGTGCTAAAGGTCACCGTTCGCATCTTCTTTTGCAATCTGTTATTTCAAACAATTCTTATCAGTCACTCTCTTGCCAAAGCATAGACTGTTCTGAGGAGTAACTCAGTTTGCTTTGTTCTTTTTTTTTTTTTTTATCAACACGGCCAACCTTCACTCCTCCTCCCGTTCTCCGTCCTGCAGGGCTGGTCTGGTCCAGATATTCGCTGGTTATCATCCCCAAGAACTGGAACCTCTTCGCCGTCAACTTCTTCGTGGGCAGCGCAGGAGCCTCCCAGCTCTACAGGATCTGGAGGTGTGTGTGTTGTTAGGTCACAGCAGAATCGGCTCATTGATCGGAGAACCGTCGTGTCTGACTTTGTTATCACTGTTGGGATCCTCACAGATGAGTTCTGAGGGGGGGTCAGTGCACGGTAGCCCCCTTTAGCAATGTGTTCTTTAGTCGTCTCTGCTATGAAATCACAGCTATAAGTTCAGGTTTATTCCACTAGAAAACAACATTATAGGACAATTTGAACTCATTTTTTTCTTTTTTTTAACTCCATAAGAACTCAGTGTCATTGTTTTTCTAAAGAAACATTTTTGGGGGGAGAAAACTGACCAAATGGGCAACCGTCAAAGATCTGAGATGTTTTTTCACAAGTTTTTAATGAATAGATTTTTTGCGTAAACCGTACGTCAACCGTGCGTCTGTCTGGATTCTGATGGGCTGATCAAAGGATTGCGGCAGGGCCATGTGGCAAACACACAAACGTTTAAGAGGTTTCTGCTCCTAGGGATCATCGCACAGAGAATAAAGCATGAATGTATGAAAATGACCATCTGAATTGAATCCCCTGTCCCCCCCCTCCACCCGCAGGCACAAACAGGATATGAAGGCACAGGCTAAAGAGGCTGCGGAGTCCTGAGGACCATCCTCCTGACCTGCTGTCCCGCTGCTGACTTAAAGGGGACTTTAACATCACCCCCTCATCCTCCCATACTGTCTCCATAACATCCATGCCATTACCATCGTCCCCCCCCCACCACACACACTCACACACACAGCCTGGTGTCCCTGCTGGAAATATGCACTTTTCCCTAAGTATCAGATTTCCTCAGGGTGTACAAAGAAAAAAACAAAAACACGGAGAAAAAGAACTTCTTTTTTTTTTTAAACTTTAGTCAACACACCCTAAAGAATGGTGGTCATCGACGCACAAATATGACTTGTATAGTAACTTCTATGATTGTACAGGTGTTGCTTTGTGTCCCGTGCGCTCTGGGAGGCTCACATCAGTAACCTCCAGCAGACTGTTCCCAAAAAACATGCACCCCTGCTGAAGGTGTTTTTAAGGAATGTTTCAAATAATGAATTCGAGAAGGATGCCATCACATTTTTTACTTTCTCACTCGCCTATTTATGCTATTTTCAGCGCCCAGGCGTCTGTACCTCAGCAGTCATTAAATCCTTGTTGATTACCATGTAACGATTCCTTCCATTTCTAATGGCTTTACGTCTTTTAATCCTTGAGAAACGAAAAAAAATCCTAATTTATTAATTACTTGAGATTTTTTTCTGTTTAGGCTCCTCTTTGTAGACAGAAGGACACTGTTATTTTCGAACTGTATATCAGGAATACTGCATATTTAACCGCCACGATCAACACAGCGAGTCAGCGAACAACTAGTTACAGACTGGAACGGCCTCCGTCGTCACACTTGCGGTTTTAAAAGTCTTCTAGATCTTAGGAAGGTGTATATTTAAAAAGGTTTTCGTGTCTGAGATCAATAGCGTGCTGACATTCTCACTGTTTTATACAGTCTCACACCCTAGATAATTTAGCAATAATTGGTGTATCTCTTAATCTGCTGACTGTTTGAACAAGTGGCACTTTGAGGGCTGATGGTTTGTGACTGTAATGGTTGTGTGATGCTAATAAATACTGTTTAACAGTTTGCAGTGCGGACATCTCAGAGATTTACCGACTAACTGGTGATTTTTAATCTTCTTTTATTACTCAGCTGAGAGGCTGTGGAGCTTTACAGAGTATGAAAACAAGGAGGAGGATCCCTTTCATGGCTGGATTTGAAGAACAAACAGTTTTTGTCAATCTTCCTCACCCAGTACTATTATGCTACATTCATTTGAGATTATTTCAAACTGAAGCTACTCAGAGGTGACGGAGAATCCTTTTTGGGGCATTACAGCTTTTAGTATTTTCTGACATGTTCCCACTGTTGTCCCCAGAACGGCCTGAAATCCGAGTTAGTTAACATAAAATGTGCTCCGTGTATGTGACATTGACGGTTGTTTCCCCAGCAGCTACTGCAGGCTTTCAACCGACCCGTGTCTCAGGGAACAGACTAATGACTCAGTGTTTCCAGTATAAACACATTAGACGGAACAGGGTAGCTCCAGGTCAGGTGAAACAATAAGGAACATCAACTCCCTCTTCTGTTTCCACCTAAGCTCTACACGGCAGGTGGAGTTTAGTCTTGAGTTGTGAGATCTTCTGCCCACAGCAGCCCACAGATTACATCTGCCACGGTCAGCTTGAGTTCAAAATGACTGTGAGGCAAGTCACTTTCCTGTCATCTACAAAACTCCCAAAAATAAATATCTGAAAAATATTGTCTAAGACCTCAGTTTTAGCAGTATATTTCAAATGATAGAGTTTATATATAATGTTTATAACCCAAATAGTATAAAAAGTCATTTCTTACAAAAATCCACCTTTAAACTAAATCCATGGTGAGAAGTTAAGGATTCTGAGCATTTCTGGGCTTCAGATGTCATTTAAATCATGTGACAATGATCTTAAAAACAAAAACATCACACCATTGATGGGAAACCTTGATATTTTATTCACAACCACAAATAGTCAGGCTTAGCGCTTCCCACCAACACGGGGTGCGCTGATCTTCATGGGCTTGGCGATCTTAGGTTTCTGTGCGGTCTTGGCAGACGTCTACAAAGAAGGAAATAAAATATAGCTTATTCAAATCTGAGTTAGTGAGGAGTTCAGAAAACAGAGGCTGTGTATTTATTAATGAGCGACCACATTCACACACATTAAAAGTTTAAAGGAACCCAGTCTGGATGATCACATTTGGACAAACAGTTTCAATCATTCCGTTTGATGGGGCAGATTTAATAAGAGCAGATCTCACCTTTGCACTCGCTGCAGCAGGTTTCTTTGCTGCCTGCTTCGCCTTCTTGGCCTCCTTGGCAGCTCTGACAGACAAGAAAAGGAAACTCAGTAAGCACAAATGACCAATATAAATGAAAGCTTTTAATATTTGCACTCATCATTTTAATTCAGAAACTTCTCAGTAAACTCAAAACTTTAAATGTTTGGCTTTTACACTTTACCAGGATTGGCTCTGGACAAAATCAATGATGTACAATTCTTAATGCATCACCCACATATTAAACCATTGCTGGTTATATTAACACACTTTGTTATTCAGTATCAAGAATACTCTCCATCAAATCTTATGCTAAATGTTCTAAAAAATTATTTCATGGTTACAACTCATTCGAACGAAACACCAATTAGTCAACAATAGAACAAATGGGCTGTCAGTTCTGCCAAACATTCATTCATTATTTTTTTACCTGATGGCCTGCTCCCTCTGGGCCTTGCGGACCTCGGGCTTCTGGTTCCTCTTGGCCATGATCTCAGCCAGGGAGGCCCCAGTGATGGCCCTCTGGAATTTGACAGCGCGGCGGGTGCGCTTCTTTGTCACCTCTTCCTGTGAAGACATAATTTACATTTGAATCCATGATGTTATAATTCAATACGTTATACACGCCTGTGGACCCCCACAGGCCACGTCTTTAGAACCAGAGAAACTTGACACCAGCAACTAAAGCGCAATCTCACAGGCAGGCACTTGTGCCAGTTCTGCACTAACTCTTTGGCAGCGCATGTAATCCAATCTGGGATTGATGGGCTTCTCTTTAATGGCACCTTTATGGGTGCAATCCCTAAAACCCAAATAAAGGGCAGAGATGCCTCCCTTTGCTGTGAATTATCAAGAGGAACAGCAGTGGGTTAAGAAGGATGAAGTTCATGAAAAATAAAAAACTGCTACCAGCATTTTAAAAAGTATGGTATGTCTCAGGCCGAATATTACCAAACTGACTAAGTTTGAAGCCAGTTTAATTTAACAGAGTGCTTGTTTTAACTACTGATACACTTAAGAGCACAAGATCACTTTAAACTACATATTAATACATCATGATGGTATCAAAATACCATATTTTAATATTAACCGGTCTCTGGATACATTTATATAATGCAGATAATAAACAAGACAGTATATGCAAATTGTATCCCACCACAGCAAAGTGAATTTCATCAACAAAAAGAAAGGCTGAATACACAAACGGAAGAATAATAGTAACATGTTTTAGTGACATGATGATGCGGCTTTGAGCTGACTCTTATCTGTATTGGCTCCAATTCCTTTCAAAGGCACTACGTTTCCAACCATCTTGAAATGCAACCCTTGACACTATGACTTTCAAATTTACAAAAAATAATTTGTTTGAAAGAAAAAAAAAAGCGGCTACCAAAATATTTGAATGTTTTGGTCAATTAAGTTCCCTCACAAATGTATTCCAAGAATCCAAGTCAACCTCATTTTACTCTCAATTCGATAATACCAACATACATTAAGAGCTTCGCAGCATCTATGGAGTGCTCTACTTTAGCTCTGCCATTACATACAAAAGATGCAGGCACATTTGTTGGAGAATTTGGAGGCTGGCACAATGGTAAGATGTCAATGAAGACGTCAAAGGCCAGTACTATGATCTCCAGATGTTCTATGGCTGAAGATGTGGCGTGAGCACCGTGGCCAAAACTGCAAAACACAGTCCAGCAACGGCACATAACACAGACCATCACCGTGCACACCGTTCATCTGCAGCCAAAGACGAATGACTTTGGGCTGGTTCTGACACAAAATTGCCAACAGAGGATTTTTCGCTATCCATGTCAAGATTTGTAGATGTCAACACTCACAGACTGGCCCTTCTTGTGCTTGCGTCTGTACAGCACAGTCCAGTTGATCTGTCTGGGGTTCCTCTTGGCCAGGAAAGCAGACTCGCACTTGGCATTCAAAAATTGAAACACCTGGGAAAAGAAACAGAAAAACTTTGATACATAGCTGTGTCATAACTTTAACATATGCAACATATATCAGAAAATAAAATAAAATATCCAAAACGTTGCTACAGAAGCTGTTGCAATAATTAGAAATGGATTAAAAGGAGAAACGTAACGGCATTTATATTTGACTGAATGCACAAAATGATAAATCTTGAATATATAACAATATGAGACACTTAAACTTACTAATTACTTCAACCTTGGCTGAGCCTATCAAATGGTGGAAACAGTGGAAAACCCACGTTGCAAAGACGCAATTGGTTATTTGAAAACTAATCATGGTGTCACTAGCATGTTAAGCTACTAGCTGCTAAGTCCAAATGAGCAGCCGAGACCTGGACGCTGACATTGGTAGTACATTTCTGAACAAATCATACTTCACCCACAGAAAATCCTCACATTCAACGCAAACTGAAAGCACACACACTGAATAGTGTCTGTTTTTCATTTTAGAATAGTTACCTTTCCGTCTATCCTGGCGTATCGTCGGCCATGGCCGGGGTATATTTTGTACCCGCTGAAACTACACAACTCGACCCTGAAAACGAAAAATATAAGGCATCATTGAAAGGAGAAACGACACAATTCTTCATAATATATATGCAGTATTTGAAAAATTTGTTTAAGAGTTGAGATGGCATTTGATAATATTCCATAGACTCACTTCATGATGGCTACGAGAGGGCTCAAAACCGGAAAGAAAGATAACGGAAGCGGAAACTGAATTTAAGACTTAACCTTAATATTTATTCAGAAGAAAAAAGCTAAACAATGCCATTAAGTTAGCATTATCATGATATTAGACATGAAAATGTACAAATAAATATGCCTTTCGTTTTCAACGAGTTATAAGAATAATAAAATTATACTTAGGTCAGTATTACAATGTGACGTCAGAATAAGACGGTTACCCAGTAAACGCAGCAAGTAAACAGTAAGATTCCTGCTGGCAATGGATAAAGAGCAAATTATTTAAACTAATATAAATATACACGTACTTCCATTATGTTTTTGAGGACCCGTTATCGTTTATCTCCGCATTTTGTTTTATTCAACCCAGTTGGCGGGTTACAGCAAAATAGTTGAAGGTTTGTAGTTTTTCGAAGCCGAAGGGAAGGGACAAGAGAGACATATTGAACTACATTTACCAGAAAGCCGAACCGCAGATTGACTTCCGACTAGCGCCTGTACAGTACAGTTGTTAGCTAACATTTTGGACTGTCTGGAACAGTAGGATGGGTGTATCGGACTTGCAGTTTGACACAAATGCAGGTAAGAGCTATACAGGGTGTTTTTTTTTTATACAAATACGGTCTTTAATGGTAATGTTGGCGGTAATTTCAGAGCACTGGTGTTTGCTCGCAAATGGTACCAACACATCCAAGCATCCTGTGTTAGTCCTTTTCTATTTCAGATTTACAGATTGTGTTTTGAACACATTTTCTGATAGTCTCCGTTCATCCTCTTGTCGTGGCATATTATGGAATTCTTTTTTATTTGATTCATTATTTTCTACTGCCCTTGTTTGTCCTTTTTACCATCGGCTGCGGATCCCTCATATGTATTGATGTCAGCAGCAAGAATTACATTACAGCACTAACGTGTAACCCTGCGAGCGACTCTAGCTAAAGACTGGAGATGCCGTGTTTTTTTCAACATAATTTAATAGATCCTCTGATATGTTTATCCAGATCTCCTCTAATCCACAGTGTGTTGGTGCTTGTTTACAGTTTTTAAGCTAAATGGCTACACAGGGACTGATCCAAGAGGAAACGTATTATGACATAACTCAACAGTGTTTCTTAAGCTGAGAAAAGCTTAAAAACATCAGACCATCAAATGTTTCCACACCAGATGTCATGGTGTTTTTTTGGTCTGCTCTCAGTGATCCTTTTTCCTGACAGGCCCCGTTGTGGATCTTTCTGCTCGGGGCATGCAGAAGCTGGATCCCACTTTCACTTGTTCTGAAGACACTCACACTCTTATCTTGGATCGTAACAACATCATGAAGCTGGATCACCTGGAGCAAAGCCCGAGCCTACAGCAGGTCTTTAAGACTTCAAATTTGTGGTTCTTTTTTTTACATACATATAATCAGACAATTGATCTTAGCAACCAGTATCTAAACATTTAACACCAATACCTGTTTCAACGGCTGACCTCAACTTCCTTTTTCAGCTATCTGTGGCCAACAACCGGCTGGTGAGGATGATGGGGGTGTCTCGGCTGATGGAGCTGAGAGTACTAAATCTTCCAAATAACAGTATTGGCTACATTGAGGGACTACGAGACCTCCCAAATCTTAAATGGCTCAACCTGTCTGGTAACAATATCAAGGTGAGGGGAAGAAATGCCCCGGAATGCTCCCAAATACAACAACTGATGTTTAACCAGCTCTCCAATTTGTGGCAGGTCATTGAGCAACTTAACAACTGTGTGTCCCTTCAACACTTGGATCTGTCTGATAACAACATATCTACCATCGGTGATCTGACCAAACTGGCGGCATTGAAGGTCAGTATTGTGGTTTCATGTTGTTTCCATCAGAGAAGCAACAGAATAATGGAATTGTTTGGTTTCTGCCAACTTTGCAGACACTTTTACTTCACGGGAACAGCATAACAACCCTCCGTATGATTCCTGCTCATCTTCCTGCCCACTTATCCATCCTCTCCCTGGCAGAAAATGAGATAAGGGACCTTAACGAGGTCAATATTTCTTTATTTATGCAATTGATTTTTGATAAATCTTTTATTTTCGATAAAAACAAACGTTTTTTGCGCGCACTCTTCCTATGGTTTCTCCCTAGGTGTCATATCTCGCGTGTCTTCACGAGCTGGAGCAGCTGTCTATTATGAGCAACCCTTGTGTCATGGCGACACCCTCGCTGCCTGGTTTTGATTATCGACCGTACATCATGAGTTGGTGCCTGAGCCTGAAGGTCCTTGATGGCTATGTGGTGACACAGAAAGAAGGGTGGGTCCGTGTCCTGCTCTTTTGTGTTCCAGTGTACCCCCTTTTGACGTGTTTAAATCCTGTTTTGATCCTATTCTTCTGTAATGGTTTCAGTCTGAAAGCCGAGTGGCTCTACAGTCAGGGTAAAGGCCGCTCATATCGCCCTGGACAGCATGTTCAGCTGGTCCAGTACCTGGCCACAGTTTGCCCTCTGACCGCATCACCAGCCCTGGAGACAGCAGAAGATGCCAAACTGGAGAAGATCCTCAGTAAGCAGAGGTAGAGGTCTTTATCATTTCACGCCCACTTTGTGGTCTCACCTGACACACTCCGTCCTTCATGCTGACCGATGGATAGTAATTATTAAAAGCTCTCATGGTGACACTAAGAGTCCTGTGGCAGGTTTCATCAAAGGCAGCTGCTAGAGGAGACCCAGGGTGGCTGTTCCAGCCTTCCTCGTCCCACACAGCTGGATGTAGAGAAGCACAGCCCCTCACGTGCAGTTCCACAGGGGGGAGCTGAAGAGGGGAATAAGATCACACCACCTGGACCGTCGGCCGCTCCATCAGTCCAAGAAACCGGTGAGAAGGTTACGTGTTGCCGCTCTGCTGTCTAGCTTCATGCACATCATTACTTTAGCGTTCTTCACAAGAAGCTTGGTTGTTATTGTGATCGCTCTTTTCGATGGTCTGCTTGCGTAGAGCCTGTCGTGCAGTTCAACACCTGGGTGAGCTGCGACTCCTCCCATCCATCGCAGCCGGTGGTTCGCAGCCCGAAGCTCGCAGGGGAGCAGCTTTATTTAGAGGACGTGCAGGCCGACGAGGATAAGCTCAGCAGCAGCATGCTTTCCTCAGAGTCCACCTTTCTTCCCTTCACTTCTGACCTCGAGCCGATGACCACCCAGTCTGACAGCGAGGACGAGACGGAGACCTTCGAGCTCGATTCGCTGGCCCCACAGCGGCCGGCCCCGGCCAGAAGGCCAAACACAGAGGAGAGGCATCGCTCGTTCCCAGCAGAGAAGAGCAATAGGAAGACTTTAGAAGAGGAGGTTACTTCTGTTTCCACAACGCCCGGGTCCCTAGTGGCCAGGGTCGGCGCGCAGAGCGATCCAGAGACATCCCCTGACTTTGGTAAAGTGGAAGTAAAAGAAGCTCCTAAGCAGGAGGAAGCGCAGATATGTGCAAGTCAACCAAGCCCGATGGAAGCAGGCAAGGCAGCAATTAAAATACAGTCCTGGTGGCGGGGAAACTACACCCGATGCTGCAACCCCGCAGCCAGAGAGGTGCGCTGCGAAATCCGACTGCGCAGGATGCAAGAGCACATCCTTTTCCTGTCTGACAAGTTAGACATGTAAGACATTGACCGCCAGAGCTCAAGAAGCTCTTTTTTTATTCATTCATTGGTTTCGGTTGTTGCTATGGCCTCCGACAGATTTGATGTGTTTTTTGCAGTGTGCAGAAGCAGTATGAGGAAGAGCGGTTGCAAAGGCTGGTCCAGGAGGAGGCTGTTAAGTTTCTATGGAAAGAGGTAAACAACTGAAAACACTCCTCTTGTGTTTGCTGAGTGTTCAGTGATGATTTGTTCGAATTTATGATGCAGGAAGTTAAAACAACACCTGAAGGCATGAAGTAAAAGTTGGAGTTACACTAGTCTTTTGTTGGATTTGCATGTTTTTGTATAATGAAAAGGACCAGCAGACTTTGATTTGAACAAGAGGCCATAGTTTGTCTGGAGTCATTGATAGAAAAGGCCAGAGGATGCTGATGTCAGCTATTTAGAAATACTATGAGTGCTCAGTCTTTGTTCTAGCCATCATCAGCTGGCTCCTATAGCATTGCAACACTCTGCAGAAGGCATTGTGACATCCTTCTGATGCAGAGGGATGTCAGGAAGTATTGCATAATTTTAGTTTCTGCAGAACGCAGGAAGAAAACAATTCTGATAAAGAACCACAAAACTGGTTTGAAAGAACTTTAAAGCTGTGGTACCCACCACAGAAAGAGATCGGTCACCTTACACCGATCCCAAAAGAGTTATCTCCCTTTTCTCTTTGATATTTTGCAACTACAGAAAAGAGAATGTGACTATAAATCATGCGAAATGTCATGAAATGTGTCATCTCATTTTATATCACACTTTTAGTAGCATAGCTGTTAAAGGGGGGAACTAACTTATTTACTCCCGGTGTCTGACTTTTAGCTCCAGTCTGTGCATCAGTGGAAACAGTCTGTCGGGCAGCAGCTGGCAGCCGTGACTCAGGCCGTCGCAGCTGGCCAGCTCTCATCGCCGGCAGCCTCTAAGTTGTCCCCGGCGGCTGCCCACGGCAACGCGGGCCCACTCAGCACGGACGCCTCCATCCCAGACTCCGGCTTTCAGTCCACCAGTGACCAGCAGGCAGTCCAGGAGGACAGCTTCCTGAGCAGCGGAACGGCCGAATCTCTGAAGACGGTGCGCGCCCTGAGTCCGCTTCTAAGCGGCCTGGCTGGTGGCAGCAACGGTGCGGACAGTGCAGACTGCAGCCTGCTGGAGCAATACCTGTCATCGGTACAGCAGAGGGAGGAGGAGGCCGAGGAGGTGATTGGGGATAAACTAGAAACACCACAGCCCTCCTCGCCAGTGTCACCCAGCAGGACAACGGCCAGCACCTCCCCCACAGAGCAGCCAGCAGAGGCCTCTCCTGTCTCTGCGTAACAGTCCTCACCCTATGCACAATTTACCCAAATCTAAATTTGTGTGGCATTCAGATGTGTCTCTCACACTTGAGATTCTGACCATGTCTGAAAACTGCTCACTTCTTGGTGACAGACCCAGATCACACGTGGAGACTTCTTCATTTCAGTTATTCATTAAGACTGAGGCCAGAACAAGCTTAGAACCCTAACTGATTGTGAATGTAACGCGAGATGTTTTTTTATTACCTGTTTTTTTTATTTATAGCCCTAATGTTAAAACATTGATTGTGATGCAGCACATGAGTGTCTTCGACACCGTTATTTTATAATTATTTATGAGAGCAGATCTGCTTTGACTTTTTTTCTTACCAATATCCACTTCATCAGATACCTGTAACAGATAATAAACTGGTAAAAGTACAGGTTGTCAAATCCTTTATAAGCATTTGTAACCACAGATAAAGTGTCAGTAATAAATGTTTCATCAAAGTAATCTGATAAAAATGAGATATTCTTGAGCAAACTTCCAAATAAATACTGAGTGATTCATTTTTAAATGGTGTGTTAAAGTGTGGCTCGTGCTTTCATTATTTAAATGTTTTATTCATTTTAAATGAACAAAAAAGGAAATAATCCAAATGGAAACTGTTTCGAAATTATTTAATCAAACCCAAACAAGTATTTTATTGAAACACTAATTATTATTGAATTATTAATAATAATAATGTTTATTGTGTAAACTGTTTTTATATCAAAGCTTATAATCGTACTTCTCCCATCTACGGTGATCACTTAAATCCCTCTGAGTGAGGACAGCGGTTTCATAAGTATTTACAGTATTGCAATAGCTGTCAGGTGGGATTAGTGTCCGCTAGAGGGCTCAGTAAAACAGAAACGACCACCCTGCTTCTGACATTCTGAGGCTCCTTAAGGTTTCTTCACTGCCTCGGCTGGGAACATTTGGAACAGGCTATCCTCCACATGAAACCTGCCGTTAGCTCAACGGATTAACGGTCCGACATTATGCTAACATGTAAGTATGCTAACCGCACGCGGAAACCACACAGAAGGCAGAGAGGGTTAAAGTCCCAGTGGCTAACGTCCTCCTTTGTATTACACGTTTATAATTTGCTTCTTCTTTGTCGTTGGCTCTGTCGTCACCGCAGCTGTTTGCGTGACAGGAGACGCAGAGCGTCAAAATACTACGAATTTTAAGCTTTTGAGCTAGACCTGGGGGTTACAGTTATCGGTGCCGTTTATTAGAAAGCAACATCATCGTCAGTCATCTCGTTCATACATTAAATTACGCCCGAACATCAGTGATTCTGCTGTGCCAGTGTGGCAAGTTGGACATAGGAAACGAGGACAACCAACATAGTGGCAAAAGCCATCGCCCATTGAGAGCTTTCATTTGCACCACAGTCACCTTGTGCGGGTCACAGTTAGTTTTCAGTATCAAATTCGGACCAAACAGAAAGCAGCACAGCAGTCTCCACCTGACGTCATCTAAACGAGCACAACAATGAAGGACTTCACGGTAGAATACAATGCTGCATTTGTATACTGTATATAAGCCATCCTGATTGTACATATGTCACTCAAATCTCTGTGTTACTCCCTTGTATTTTTATTTATTTTTATTGTTTATACTTTATGCACCTTTTCCTCCTTGTTTGCACCTTCTTTAATCACTAAACCGATGTGTGACCAGTGAATTTCTCCACTGTGAGATCAATAAAGTCTATCTCATCTTATATTATCTTAAAAAACATTTCCAGCAAACCTCAGTGTTGTTTCCTGCACTCGGGAAATACAACGTTGGTTATCAGAGAAATAATTACCTTTGACGTTTGTGGTTTCTCAAGTAGGTGGAGATGACCCGTAAAAGGCAAAGGTGTGACTCCCTGATCAGTTAGCACCCACCAGTCTGCCGTCGGCCCAACACAGCCCTGCTAAAGTTTGTTTAGCGGAGAGGCGCTGCAGTGGTACTTCTGCACTTTTACCTGCTCAGCGCGGTACAGTACGGCTTGACAGTATTTACACGCCTCTCAGGGTTCTGGCGCCACTTAACAGTCCCAGTTTTGGCCCTGGGCTACTCCTGGGCTGGGGTCCATCCATCCATCCATCCATTATCAATGCCGCTTATTCCCTCATGGGGTCGCGGGGGGAACTGGAGCCTATCCCAGTGGTCAACGGGCGAGAGGCAGGGTACACCCTGGACAGTCCGCCAGTCCATCGCAGGGCCACACACAGGACATACAAGGACAAACAACCACTCACACTCACATTCACTCCTAAGGGCAATTTCCCCAATCTCCAATCAGCCTAACATGCAGGTTTTTGGACTGTGGGAGGAAGCCGGAGAACCCGGAGAGAACCCACGCAGACACAGGGAGAACATGCAAACTCCACCCAGAAGGGCCCTGGTTCCCCCGGGATTCGAACCCAGAACCCTCTTGCTGGGAGGCGACAGTGCTAACCACCACACCACCGTGCCGCCTCCGGGCTGGGGTCCATCAGAGCTAATTGGCCAATGACTCCCTGGCCAATCAACGCTCGGGAGTCTATCAGCGCATTTAAAAATGGCAGCAACAAAAAACACCGGGTTTCATTATTTCTGTCATCATAAATCGGGAGCCAAAGCCAAGATTTAGATGATATATAGTTGCCACAATATCCTGCAATGTTGTCTCGTGCTTGTGTCGCGTATAAATGGCGTTGTGCATGCCAGTTTTTTCTCCCTACTACAGCTTACCCCTGGCAGCCCTGCTTTTGGAGTTCTCACTACTCCTTCTGGACAAGTCATCCTGGCAGAACCTTTTTCCTAGGGTTTCCGAAAACTGCTTTGTGATTGGTCAGATGTTGGCTTGCAGCTGCACTGTTGTTTTTCTTCTTCTTAGTCAGTTATATTGTTCTCATCTTGCTTCGTCAATTCATAAATTGTCCATTTTGCTAGTGTTATGTTGTGGACTTCCTGTGATGTATGCCTCAGTGGGCGGGACTTTCTGGGAATCTGGCTGCGTGACATGTCAGAGCAGATATAAAAATGTGGAAGTATCTTCCAACAGGGTGCAGCAGTTCATGCAAAGCTTCATCCAGAATTGCCGTTTGTAGTTGGCACTGCCAAAGATTTAGCAAGGCTCCACTGGAGAACAGCTATTACACAGTGTAACCGTTAATTTGTGTGTTAATTATGGTGGAGGGGCAATGACAGCTGTCTCCTCTGGTCCTTTACCTGACACCAGCCCCATGATCACAGATTGTGGAAATGTGCTTGTTATATTCAGCCAGTCATCTTTCTTTGGTGAAATCTATTTTTTTTTTAAAGGTTCCAGGAAAAACTTTTAATTTGAAGAATGTTGGTGATTTACCACTGTAAATCATCCCATCATTCACATTTCACATCTACTTCTAATTTGGAGACTCCAATGTCATTTCTCCTCTAGCTGTTAATGTGTGGTTTACGTTGCTGGATCTTAATCCTATTTTCTTTCAGCTGGTTTCTCACAGTTTTTGGCCTCCAGCGCTGACCTGCTTCTGCCCATTTGTTCTAAATTCCTGTCTATTTTCAGGCTTATTCCTTCATTTTTCACCCCAGTGTTTCAACCTCTTACTCGGTTGAGCTGTGCGCTGTGCACCCTTTCAAAATAAACACAGTTCATTACAATAGTGTTCAGCAATTAAGGCATGTTTTACTAATAGTCATCGTTGAATAAAGTGACGTGGCATATCAATGTTTTTTATTGTCTTTGTTTTATTTTTTGTAAATTAAACAGCTGTAGTGATTCTTTTCTATCTTATTTCTTTTAAATACATATGTTGTGCAGGTTTGGTCTTTGTTATGCATCTGTGTCTGAATGCAATGCTTTTCAAACTGTATGTAGTACTGAAAGTGAGTCATCACTCATGAGTTGCTTAATCAAATGGATAACTTACATCAGCATCTAAGGGTTTTTTATCCCGCTTTTATATATTTCATGTCCATAGAAGCAATATTTAGGCATTTACAGAGTATGGTACGAGATTGAATAAAGGCTTTAAGACACCAAGAAAACTCCAGATTCTTTTGTGAAAGTGAAAAAAAGTCTGAATACTATTCCATTTCTTTTAATGTTTAGCATTTTAGAATAAGTAACTCTGGTAAATTAAGTACGTGCCCATCTTTTCAATTACTTTTAAAGCACAAGAGCCTAACTCACCATTTTACATTGGACTGAATGACTATAGAGGTAGAGTACTCCCCTGCCTTCCTGAAAGATAAATCAATACATCTTTTAATTTATTTAAAGGTATTTTGTCTATCTGCTCATCTACATTGCACACCGACACTGCTTCAACTAATTCTGAACTTATCCTGTGAGGCTTCTCGCTTACTCAATTTCCATGTCAAGTGAATTTGTGGTGGTCTTCTCCATCCTTGTCATTTCTACAGCGTTGGTGGGTGAAATGATGCTGCCGTTGCTGGGGTGACGACGACTGAGGCAGGGCCTGATCATGGGAAACAGAAGGGGGCCACCATGTGCCGAAATCTATCCAAATATGGCCTGGTCTTCCTCTTCTTAGCGCTGTTCGGCTTCATCTTCCTCCTCTGCAATATTCACACCATCGAGGTGAGGGGAGGAATGGGTCATTCTGAACGGGAGTGGACCGCAGTTTTGTCAGTAGTATTGACAGTTCTCTTCACGCAGTGGAACTGATACTCAAAAAAGAGAATTATTGTCTTTTTGTTTGTATTGTTTCAAAAGAAACCTGTCCGTTTTTCACCGTATAGTTCTCCCTGAAATGAGATAGGAACTTAAATGTATTTACCTTTTGTAGAGAATTTACTTAAAGCAGGGACCATTCACGAATATGCCCCAATATTAAAATGTGTGTCAAAAAAGAAGAATCCCTCCAAATCTTTGTTTTGAGAAATATAAGCAGCCTGTAAGCAGTTAAAGACACTATTAATCCTCAAACTCCAGAGACGCCCGAGATGCATTGCTCATTAATCAACACATCAGAGGGACAGAGTAGTTATTTACTAGCCCTACGGGCTTTTAAAACGAACTCGCTGGTCCCAGATGTCCCGCCTGTCATACTTGAGCCTCAGAACTTTGGATAAAGTGTTTAACGGCGTCTTTTCTCCCCAGAACTGGAACTGCCACACACTTTCAGCCCTCTATCAGCTTCAGGGTCGGATCCACTCATCCTTTTTGTCAGCCAGCCTCCCTGCTTTTCACCACAACCGCACCTTCTGCGCCCGCCTGGGCCAGAAACCCTCCCCGGAAGATGAGCTGGAAGAGCGCTACCTGTTGGACTCCATCGCGTGGCCCAGCCCCCCGCCTCGCCGGTCACCCGCCAGCCTACGCCAGACGAGCGACCCTGTGCACAGCCTGTTCACCGTCCTCCCCGCCGAGGGAGGAAGGGAGTGGCGCCTGGGCGAGCACCTGGAGGTCCTCGTCCAAATTCACGACTTCCAGGGCCGTCCCAAGAACTACGGCGGGGATTTCCTCATAGCCCGGCTGCACTCTCCCGAGCTGGGGGCAGGTGTAGCCGGGCTGGTGGTGGACCACAACAATGGCTTTTATTCCTGCCTGTTCCCGCTGCTGTGGGTGGGAGCGGCGCGGGTGGAGGTGACGATGGTGCACTCCAGCGAGGCCGTGGCCGTGCTGCAGCGGCTGAGGGAGGAGCGGCCCGATCGGGTGTTCTTCAAAAGCCTGTTCCGGTTGGGCTTCCTGTCAGAGACTACCATGTGCAACATGTGCCTGCCCCCCGACCAGCCCCTGTGCAACTACACAGACCTGTACACGGGCGAGCCCTGGTACTGCTACAAGCCCAAGCTGCTCAGCTGCGACGCCAGAATCAACCACGCCAAAGGGGGCTACCTAAAACACCTCATCACCAACAAGGAGGCGCTGCTCTTTCAGAGGTTTGTGGAATGATTTAAGCACAGGCCTAAGCTGTAACAACAAAATATGTCAAGCATTTGGTCTTGGGTTGAGTTTTTTATTTCCATCTCTTAACATGGCCTTGCTGTGTTTCTGTCACGTCTCAGTGGTGTAAACATCAAAGTCCAGCTTCATGCCTCAGGCAGCGACAGCATCACCGTGCTGCCACGCTCAGGTACAGCTCAGCGTGGTATCCCTCTTTTCTATTTTTTTTATTTCATGGGCGGCGATGTTTCCTTAAACCGACCCGACCTTTGTCCTCGCTCGCTTTGTGTCAGATGCAAGCGAGGGGAAGAGCACCAATGTGAAAGCTGAGCACGACCGCATCCCGACCTCTGGATACTACTACGGGGATTTGTGGTGGCCGTCGGGTGGCGCCACGATGCGGCGGTTCGACGAGTCGTCAGCCGTCGCGCAGTGTCTGAGGAACAAGGTGATCAACCTGTATGGAGACTCTACTGTTCGGCAGTGGTTTGAGTACCTCATCACTGTTGTACCAGGTGAGCGTGTTCCTGTGTTTGTCACACGCTGATTTGGAAATCCAGAGCTTAGAGACTTGGTAGGAAGCAGTAAGGAAGAAATGATAAAGGAGTATTTTGGCCTGATTATAAAACCCAAGTTGGTACAGAGGATATTTAGGGATGCGACTGCATCTCATCGGCAACCCCCACTTCCCCCCCGCCACCCAGAAACATCCCTAATAGGTTAATTGATGACTATAAATTGCTCCTTGGAGTGGCTGTGAGTATGTGTGGTTGTTTGTATCTGTGTATCCCTGCGATGGACTGGACCTGTCCAGGGTGTACCCTTCATCTGTCTTGTGTCAGCTGGGATAGCACCCTCCAATGTTCCTTCATCGAGGATGAAGGAACATTGGAGGGAATATTGATATTTTTCCATCTGCATTCATCAACACTGGAGGAATCTCATTGTGTTGAAGGACAGGAGAGCAATAAGTGCCACTTAAATAAAAGGTAGTCTATTACTCTGGCTCCAGTGGTCTGGAGAAGGCCAGCGCTGAGGTCAAATGTCTTTTAGGGTCAGAATCAGTCAGCGTTTGGGATTTCTTGGGGAGTAAACTGACCAGTGTTAATAGGCTCTTACCTGGTTCTTTTAAGTTTGAACTCACACGTGTTGCGTCCCCTCCAGAACTGAAGGAGTTTAACCTGCACAACCCTAAAAAGGTGGGGCCGCTCTTGGCGGTGGACAGCACCCACAACATTCTCCTGAAGTACCGCTGCCACGGCCCGCCCATCCGCTTCACCACCGTCACGTCCAGCGAGCTGCGCTACATTTTCAACGAGCTGGACGGCCTCTCGGGGGGCCAAAACACCGTGGTGGTCCTCAGCATCTGGGCCCATTTCAGCACTTTCCCGGTGGAGGTGTACATCCGGCGGCTCCGACACATCCGGCGAGCGCTGGTGAGGCTGATGGAGCGAGCGCCGGGGACGCTCGTGGTGGTGCGCTCGGCCAACCTGCAGGCCCTGGACGAGGAGGTGAGCCTGTACAACAGCGACTGGTACTCCCAGCAGCTGGACGCCGTGCTCAAGGCCATGTTTAAGGGGCTGAATGTTCTCATCGTGGACGCTTGGCAGATGACCTTAGCACACCACCTGCCTCACGCCCTCCACCCGCCCCCGGTCATCGTCAAGAACATGATGGACGTGTTTTTGAACTACGTTTGCCCCGAGGAGAAACAGAGCCAGACATAGAGGCGCTGAGAAAGGCTGTGAAGCCCATGTTCGCCCCGTAGTTCCAAACAGCTCTTTGTTCCGATTTTCCTTTCAAGTTTTTTCCAAAGCTGCGGACCCTTTAAACACCGTCCTTTCCGAGGTTAGCCAGGCTTTTGGCGCAGGCTGTTTACAGTGTGGTTTGTGTTCCGTTTTGAGCCTCACACGACTTAATTTACCTGGGGAATGCCAAAGACTTTGGCACAGCAGTTGTCCTTGCTTATTTGCTGTTGCTACCAAAAAGGAGTTTCCTGCATGTCCAACATTCTTATGGTTCTATCTTCACAAAGTATGTGTTTGGAGACACATTGCTGCTTCTCAGTCCGTCCATCGGTCCGTCCCCGCTCCAGAGAACCGAAAGAATGTGCTGCAGGTATTCTTTCGGAGTCTGATTTCAAATAAGATGTGTTACGGTTCATTGGTCGCTGCGTTTGTGTTGGATAGAACGAAAGCTTTCTCACCATTATGAAGCATCGTGATCTCAGGGCTGTAGTCAGAGGTTTTAATCATGTGCAACATTTGGCCAGAAAACCAAATTTCGGGTCAATAAATTGGTTTATACCAGTGGTGAGCAGTCAGGGCCCGTGAGGCCTTCTCCTTCCCCTAAAATTTCAGATGTTATTTTAGGCTAAAACAATATCTGAATCACCAACTGATGTTAATTCTATTTTATATAAATCACTGTATAAGCTTTCTACAGTGACTTAGACATATGAGCCACATGCCGCTGGTATGCGTGTGCCTTTCCAGCTGCCATCAGGAGCTGCTTTACATTTGGAAGCTAAGTATCCTTTACTTTGAGGAAAGATTAAGTCAGAGCTGGGCGACACGACGCATCCGTCAAGGTGATTTCCCATTTTAGAGAATTGGTTATCGTTGTTGCGATTGTTTGCGAGCGATGTTGGGATGGGGGGGTCCTGTGTAGTCATTTAGGCACTGCTTGAGTTTGTTTGTTGCGTGCTCAGCTGACAGGTGATGCCTGCTGAATGATCACCAAAAAGTTAATATAATTGGGGGAAAATGGGAATAGAAACATGCACGACTGTGCAGATCAACAAATGTGTGATTCACAACACACTGTTGATCACGTAAAATGCTGATGGTCAGCAAGGACATGGACACGAAAAGAGCACATTTAAGAGGCAGAGTCTCTCAGAAAAGAAGTTGGACCAAGGTTCAGCGGTTGCTCAGCGTAAGAATGTGATGAGCTTGAATATTCATCGTTCATCTACGGCACGCAGTGTCATCTACATATTCAGAGAATATGGATGCAAATCTGTGTGGAAGGTCATCCTTTTCAGGAGAGGTCTTTTTTCACCAATACCGTGCCCATAGCCCAACCTGAGCAGCACAGTAAAAACGCTAGCTTTTCTGTGGGTGAGAACCCACAATTACTATTAAGATAAGCAAATCTACTGTAATATTAACTATTATTCGAATGCTTGATGCATCATGGCTATTTTTGTTTTTAATCAGGATTTATGCTGCTTTTAGAGATAGATCAACTCTCTGAACTAAACATAACCAAACTTTTCGTTTTGATTTGTACAGCATGCTTCACAGTGTGTTGGTGGTAAGCCCCGTTGGTTCAAACTGGTTCAAGTTCCCAGTAGTGGGGGAGGGGTGGTCTTCTGTCTGGAGTTTGTATGTGTGGGTTCACTCTGTTTACTCCAGGTTCCTTCCACCGTCCAAACACACGCATGAGGAGGATGCTATGTTAATTGATGATTCTGAATACTTCACAGGAGTGAGTGTGTGTGGTTGTGTGTGTCTGTGTGTCCCTGTGATGGACTGGCGACCAGTCCAGGGTGCACCCCGCCGTTCGCCCTAAAGACAGCTGGATTGGGCTCCAGAGCTGTGACACTTCTTGGACTAAGCAGTGTAGAAAATGGATGGGCGAATGGCAGACTAAATAAATTTACTACTCCAGCTGACATGAAATGTGTTATCTGGAGACTCAATTACACTAACGCTCACTTTAATGGCCAAGTCAGACCAGGCTCATTCATTAAGTTCGACTACTCTTTTTCCACGTGATGCTTTTTTCCTGATCTGAAGCTGTGCTACAGTGTAATAAACTGATTTAAAAGAAAAGCAATTTTTTTCTCGTGTGCTGTTTTGTAAAACAAAAGTACATTTCTACAATGCACTTCTCACTTAGGATTTTTTCCCCCTACAAGATCGGACCTGCAAGGCATAAATAAAGCAAAGACATAATATCCCATTTGAGGATTGTCTTCACAATTTTCATGGAAGCTTTTCCAAGATCATCAAAGCATTTAAGTTACAATTTTCTTTTTTTAATTTAGTAAATGAAAAAGCTGCTGGTGGTCATGGGGTAGCAATTAGAGGAGAGTTCTCAACAGCACAACCCTTCCAAATGTCTGCTCTCTAAAAAGACAGCACATTTAATTTTATAATCAGGTTTTAGGTAACAGCACATAATCGGAAATCATCTGGTCCTGATAAAGTCTCAAAATGAGGTTAATCTGACCTCAAAAGAGAAACAACACGTGATGCATTAGTCCATTTATCTAAAATATCTAGGCCAAACAGGGAATGTAGTGTAGTTTTCTGGTGTCCGACAAGTTGGGAGGTGAAACACCGAGCTACCTTTGAATTTCTTTTACCCAGTCAACAGAGGAGGGGTGGAAAATAACTTTTAAAGTCTATCTTGAAAACATTTATCCAGTTGCCATAGTTGCAACTGCTGCTCCTTTCCTTTTCATTTAAATCAACCACTTGTTTATCACATGAAGTCCATTTCTCCTCTTGATTTACTTTAAATAATCCAAACATTTAGCAAAGAGCCAGTAAGGAGCACATAAATGGTTAGAAATAGTTCTGTGTGTTAAAATCAGTCATGGTCTAACACAACTTATGACAACTAGCTAGTAAGAAAACCCATTTCTAAGATCTGATGATAAATGTGCGACTGCAACAGCCTTCACAGCAGCTCAGATACGAGTAAGACAAAATGAAACAAATCCAAGTTTGTTTTTTTTGTTTTTTTTAAAGAGTTTTATTTAAAAAGTAACATGTTCCCTTTGAAAACTTCAGGCATATCTCTCAGTGCTAAAGCCTGCAGAGCATCGTGTTCTCTCGGAGTGAAATATATAAGATACAGTTCAGCAGAAACTTTAGCAAAAAAAACAAAACACAACAAACGCAGCTCTGTACAAACCTACAAGCAAGAAACACCACTGTGTGCACAACATCTGGATGCTCACTTCCAAAGATCTAGGAAAACCTTCTCTAAACACATCGAAGAAAGCAGCGTTTTCACGACAGAGAGCCAGATTTGGGAACAGAAGTGGATCCAGAGCGGAGGTTAAATGACAGCACGTGCACACGTGGACTGGAGTGTAAAATATAAAGAAGATACAGATGTGTCGGGTATGACGGACAGGTGTTTCAGCTTGTAGCTTGTAGAGTGGAGTGGATAGAGGCACAGAGAGTACAGATTAAGAGCTCAAATGAGTCTTCAGTTTCTTTTGTCTCAAAATGTGAAATCAGTACACTAACCATAGTCTGAATAACCACAACTTTTTAGCAAAGGGGGATAATCTAAGTAATCTAAGCTGTATGTCCATGATATCTGATATGCTGCTGGGTTGTAAAAACAATCCCCTGAAACTCAAACAAAAACACAGCATGTAAGAGGGAACAGAAACACGATTGAATTTAAAATGACTGATGTTCACTGGCATGTATGAAAAACTGAAAAGAACCCCAAAAAAGGAAACAAAAATCATCTGCAGAATGTCCCGAGCGGTAGCCGGGGGAGATGTCACACGTCCTGGACATTCATGGCGTCCTGCGGCCAGCTGTACGTGTCCAGAGTGAAGGAGTCGTAATCGGGGCTGTAGATGTGAGACAGCACGAAGGACTCCTTGTCTTTGGGCTCGGGGTACACTGACGCGATGTTGTGCTTGTAGGCATGGTTGATAATCTGGAAAAAGGAGCGAAACAGAATTTATTATGCTTGGACTCCTCCGGCACCATCGCTGCCGTCTTTAAAACAAACAAACCTCCATCTGAGCCCTGTACGCGGGCGAATTTCAATATGTCCAGAGACAAACCAGCGAGATGTAAAACGGCATATTTTTACACAGTAACAATGAAACAAAAACGAGGAGGTTTTCTCTGAAAGACTGAGATAATAAGATTACAAGTTATTTTGAAACAACTTGTACGAACTTGATGCTGTTACACTGTTACGCATTTCCTCCATTCCACCGGGGTACAGAGCTCTGGTAGTCTGCGTTTTCAGTTTGAACGGTGAGTACTCAGACTTGGAGGACTAAACAGTTCAGTTAAGAACATGATACCGGTTTTATTGCCAGAGGAAAAAGGGTAGAACTCACCTTCACCGCAATCTTGAAAGACACCTCCCTTATGGTGTTTAGAGGAGGATAGAGTCTTCCTTCGGCCAGGTGCTCCTCCGTCACCATGTCGGCTATGGCCTGACGGAGAGAGACGTTATCAGGGTCAGGAATCACCATTAAAGCACCTCTAAGATTGTGATAATGAAGCTTCGCTAACTAACTAAAGGCACGTGCGGTACCTCTGCGGTGGTGAGGAAGATGTCTTCGGACACGTGGCGCACCCCGCAGGCTATGACGCCCAGAGCCACCCCGGGGAAGACGTAGGCGTTGTTCCCCTGGCCGGGGTAGAAGGTGCGGCCATCGGCCAGCGTCACCTTGCTGAACGGACTCCCGCTGGCAAAGACGCCCCTTCCCTAATGACAAGAAGGCAAAAGAAGGGCCGCGACCGTTAAATGAAACTCCCCACTTGGAAGGCAAGCTGCTGTAATAATAACAGCGGTAAGGGTCGGTCAGCTGGGTAGGGGATTTGCTGGTAAAAAAAAAACACACAAAAACAACACTACTTCTAGAGAACATTCACAAAGGCCGCCAGCCCAACGCGCTCACCTCTGTGAGCGTGTAGCATTGCTCCGCCGTGCACTCGGCCTTGCTGGTGGGATTGCTGAGGGCGAAGATGATGGGCCTCTCGTTGAAAGACGCCATGTCTTTGATGATCTTCTCGGTGAAGGCTCCACCAATCGCGGCCACGCCTGCGGGACAGAGCAGAGTCCCGTCCCGCTCAGCAGGGAGTCAAACCCCAGCAGCTCCAGGGGGACAAAGAACCCTCTGTAAGGTCCATCCATCTATCTATCTATTGATCTATCTATCCATCTATCTATCTGTCAGGACTCCTTTCATCTCACCGATGATGGCGGTGGGTTTAATGGTCTGCACCGCCTCCTCCAGTGTCTTCAGGTGTGGGTGTTCGTGAGCAAACTCCTGCTTCTCGTGGTTCAGGTGGCTTCTCCCCTGCGCCAGGGCGACATTTTGGTTTTCGCTCAAAAAACAAAAACACCAAAACACTTCACCGCTTCCCCGTGACCCCCCCCCCCCTGAGGGAGCCCATGCAGGCTTACCTTCACAATGAGGCCTTTTGAATCCACCATCCAGATCCTCTTGGCAGCCTGCTCCCTGCTCAGCCCCTCCTTGGCCATGGCCATGATCAGAAGGTGGGCGATCCCCAGAGCAGCCTGGAGGATATCAAAGAAGAAGAAAATAAAAGTCTCCTGTGTTAGCCAGATTCAAAAACAATTAGGGGCTTATTCTTCCCAACAGCATGGGCGACCTGAGGGATTCCTCTCACCTCGCCCGCCCCCTGGAAGACAAACGTGTGATCCGACAGTTTGTTCTTGGTGATTCTCAGAGAAGCCAAGATCCCAGCGACCGCTACCGAGGCCGTGCCTGCGGGCGACACACACCCACAGCTTTAGCCCCCCACGGCGAGTGTGCACTGACTGATCAGGACGAGCACGCCGTCTGCTCCAAACCCGAGCCTCTAAGTGTGGGATTTGGATCTGAACCCTTTTCCTTAAACTCCTTACCACGGAACACCCAAAGTAAGCAGAGTCGTTACAAACTCACAGAGCGTTAGTGGAAATGCTAATCCAACCCACAGCGTCTCAGTGCTGATTCACATTCAGCGCAGATCAATGCCAACCGGCTGACTTTTTGTTGGTAAGCTGGTGGTCTTTTATAGGATATTTTCCACTGGCATCATGAGCAGGCATCATACTGGTGGCCTTCAACATACCAAACTGCATTGTTGTATTGTTTTTTTTTAAATGGCAGGTTCAGGGGTGAAAAAAAATCACTTTAGCTTCAATGTGACTGATAAAATGTTTCAGAGACAATTCAATACTGGTACTATCAAGCAAAAAAAGTTTAACCCATTCAGATCTGCCCTTAAGACAAAAAATTATGTAAAACTAGCCAATTCATTAAACATCTTTAGATTTAAAAAAGCATTAGAATGAGGGTTTCATGTGATTAACGTGTTAACTGTCATTTTCCTGTCAGAAGTTGGAACCAGAAGTGGTCACATGGTTCTGTAATGCACATCCATTTAAACAAAACAAAAAAGATTCAGGCTCCAAAACCTTTTAGGCCAAACGCGGCTCCAAAGACCAGGAGTAGCACTTCTGGCCTGTAACAAGGTACCTTGGATGTCGTCATTGAAAGTGCAGTATCGATTCCTGTACTTGTTCAGGATGCGGAACGCGTTGCTGTTGGCGAAGTCCTCAAACTGGATGAGGCAGCTCATCCCGTACCTGCGGGCCAGAAGCAGGCGGGCTCAGGCGTCCGGCTCGCCGTGGCCGGCTGGGGCTAACGTGGCCGCACTCACTTGTCCGTCACCGCCTGCATGAACTCGTCGATGAGCTCGTCGTACTCCTTCCCCCTGATTCTTTTGTGCTTCAGCCCGATGTACAAAGGGTCATCCAGCAGCGCCTGGACACAGAAACAGAAAAAAACAGTAAGGGGAGACCGGCCGTCGTCTCTCTTCCCGGCTGCAAACCTCCGCTCCCACTCGCCTGGTTGTCGGTGCCCACGTCCAGGAGCACGGGCAGGCACTGCTGCGGCCGCACCCCGCCGCAGGCCGTGTACAGCGCCAGCTTCCCCACGGGGATGCCCATCCCGTAGCTGCCCAGGTCGCCCAGTCCCAGGATGCGCTCCCCGTCCGTCACCACGATGGCCTGAGCAGAGGCAGGCGCAGACCGGTCAGAGCCGGCCCCAAAAATCTTCTCAGGAGCAACAGATCCTGACGCTGTGTGTGTGTGTGTGTGTGTGTGTGTGTGTGTGTGTGTGTGTGTGCGGTCTGCACCTTGATGTCCTCTTCGGGCCAGGAGTTGAGCATGGTGGCGATGTGCCCTCGGTCGTGGATGGTGATGAACAGCCCTCTGCGAGCATGCGGGGTGAGTGAGGTTACAGGTCGGCCATAAAATTCACCCGTCAAGAGAAACGCAGAGGGGCCTAAAATGAGTCTCCCCTCACCGTGGTCTCCTGAAGGCGTGGCCATACTGCTGGCAGGCCAGCCCCACGGTGGGGGTGTACACGATGGGCATGAACTCCTCGATGTCGGAGGTCAGCACGCGGTAGAAGAGCTTCTCGTTCCTGTCCTGCAGCGTCATGAGCAGGATGTACCTGAGACACAGCGAGGGGTCGTGTTCAGCAGACTGAGACTCAAACAAACTAACGGGTTCTCATCATTCTGGGGGTAAAGACGGTGACATCAAAACATCGTCTCCGCACAAATATGTTTCTGTGCCATTCCAGGCAGGTCGGATGTTAAAATGCCACAACTTTGGTTCGTGCTTAAAAATAAAAGCTTCATTTCAAAGCTTTAATTAGCACGTTTCAAAGCTAAATGAAGAATTCAGAATTCCAGAAGCATCTATTAGTTTTCAAATACACAGAACTTGCATTTCCTCCTCAGAGTGGGTGCAGATTTATAGAGTTTTACACTGTATCTATGTGGGGAGGGAAGGTTTTTTTTGGGAAAATGAACATCTTGAGTGCATGACAGCGGGAGTGCTTCGACTCCTCGCCCGCATCACTCAGCTTTTTTTCCCCCCCACTGTAGACTGTCTGTTTCTTACGGCTATTCTATTCTTAAAAATGGGTTTCTGCTGTTAACTGATGCGTGCAGGGCTGCATGACCCTCTCAAGACACAGAATATGTGACACTGAGCCCTGTTGCTGAAGCCGGACCACACAAACTTGATGAACGATTGGAAAACCACTGCCAACAGATGTGAGACGCCCGCATATGAGGGGGAACTCTCCCAACACCTGCTGCTCGTGGGGACGGGGGGGGTAGAAAACCCTTTGGGGGACCGTGCGAGCCTCACTTGTCCAGAGGGTTGGAGCGCGTTTCGTAGCTCTTCATGACACGCAGCACTTGCACGTCCTGGGAGAGGAAGCAGGGGGGCAGCAGGCCGTGGATGCCCAGCTGGAGGCGTTCCTCCAGGGTGAAAGCCATTCCCTGCAGAGTGACGGGGGGTGAGGGGGGGGAAAAAAAAAGGAAAGCCATTAGACAACATTCTGCTCCACGGGGCAGAGTCTGCACAGGGTGGAGCCCATGAACTAAATCCAGACCAAAGTGATTCATGTGTTTGTCATCACGCCGAGATGGAAACTATGACTCATGCCAGCATAAAAAAATACAACAGTGGTCCCCTTTTGGAGGCCATGCTTCATGTTATGGTGTTACTTTTGAGGAAATACCAGAGAAACCACCGGTGGGAGCGGTGTGCTGAGTTGGAGACTCGGAGCAGCAAACACCCTCTGCCCTCCGGTTACCGACCCGTTTCCGCGTCAACAGGCCTCCCAAACATCGACCGGAGGGGGAGACCGAGCTCCAGTCTATTTATTCCGTCCAATGGACAGGGCGCCTGAGCCCACTCCCCTTCCAGCTGGACTCCTCTTTCCCCGTCTCCATTTTGCCGCCCGTCCTATCTACTCTTACCACATCAAACCAATAAACAAATGAAGAGGAAGCGCTGACCTACATGGGCAGCAAACTAGCGGCTCCGGGCCCTTTTTTTGCCCGCGGGGCCCCCCATGCCCCCCCCCCCCCCCCCCCCGGCCCGGGCAGATTGTGCCCGTTTGTAAATTGAAATCTGATAGCGGTGTTTTACGATTGGAACTTCTGCAGCTGCAGCGCTTTGGTGACAGATGCTGGACGGTAGGGCAGAACTGAGCGAGGCCGATTTAGCAGCACAACGGAAGGTTCCGTAGCTAGTAAAGGTCACTGGAAAAAAAAAAAAAAGAGACAATGATAAACCGCATGCCATACCAGATTAGCAGCAGACAGGAAGAGAAAAAGTCAGCTAGAAGGACAACTCTGATACAAAACAAGCCAAAACCAACCATGCAGATGGAAAAATGTGACTGGAAGAAAACAGCCTCAGATAAACAGATTTAAGGGGAAGCTCTTACAGTATACCAAGCAGCTAATGGAAGCACTCAGGTAAACTCATTGAGGGGAATCCTCAAACCAGCCATTATAATGCGCTTTAGGGCTGCATAAAAACCATTAGGATTTAATCAGGTGGTTAGGAGATACATCAGCTGTCACAATAACCTTTATCCACATCTTATCACAATTGCTGTGAACTTACAAGCCTGTAATATAGATTTATAATCCGACAAAGACAAAGCGAAGAGAAGCCAGACCTGCACCTGCTCTGATATAAGTGGGATTACTGGAAACAAGCTGGCCTGTTTTTAAATTTCTGACTATTTTAATGTGGAAACACCACCTCATCTCATCAGAAACAGTATGGTGCTGATACTGTGACATGAGTTTAAAAAAAAATAAAAATCTAATCAGAGCTGTACTTCCTGACAGCTTGAACTTAAATGGCTGACGAGTCAGGATGGGACTGCTGAGTGTGCATCTGCGGAGGAAAGAACCTAGAATGACCTGCCATCAAGCAGAAACAAAGCAATAAACCCTCAAGCCTCAGACTCAAATACCAGCAGTGTCTGTGTCAGGCTGGACACACAGTAGATGGTGCACTTTCTTGTTAGGTTTAGGGAAAGGAAAAAAACATTTCAATACGTGAATTGCAAAAATAAGATAAATAAATGCAGGGAATTCAGGACCCCAACCACATTATTCATGCTGCTTAAGGATAGAAAAAGAGACAGGAGGGACATGGCTATGTTCAAAACCACCATTAATGGCTGTGGGAAATTCTGCCCTGAAGCTATTACAGCTGCAATTTAACATGCTTCATAGAAATGAAAGAGTCATAAATGCCTGTTTATGGGTGCTTTCCTTTGATAAACTTTCCAAAAGTCAGGTGTGCTGCTGGACTCTCTGAAGCTTGGACGCATTCTCCCTTTTTATCACCATGTGTCCAAGCTTGCCAAATCCTGGCGGGCTTGTGTTAACAGTTTCTCTTTGATTGCGTTTAGCCAACATTTTCCATCAGGTGAAAGGTCGATTTTCCCAAAAATGTATTAGACAGAACAGACACTTTCTAGGTGGTTTAAATACATCCATATCATTAGTTGAAAGCACTATCTGGAGATCTGTTTGTCTGTCTCCTACCTGAAGACACATTTTTAAGTTTTACCTGGCTTTATTGTTTGTCAGCATACTTAATAACTCCTGATGAACTCGTAGACTTCTTGAGGAGCTCACCTTGTTGAGATGGGGATTCCTGGTGATGTCGTAGCCCCGCTTCTTGGTGTACACGCTGCCCTTGCGGGCGGCATCGGAGTGGCAGCCCCGGGCGGCCCTGTCGGCGGGCAGGGGCCCCCCCACCGCCGGGTGACCGGGGCCGGGGGCCAGGGCCCTCAGCCCGCCCGCGGCCGCGCGTCTGCACACAGACAGGGCGGCTCTTCCTGGGAGGGAGCTCATGCTGCCTGCGGACATCCAGGGGACACACACACACGCACACACACACACACACATTGCGTTTATTGCGGCACAAGTCACCTTACAGATCCGAGAGAGGACAAACAGCCCCCGAGATGCCAAACATGCCATCAACCACACAAGTTGAGTCAGTCTTCCTGTAAACAACCTGCTGTTAAGCGGGGAATCTGAGCCGTTAACAGTTAGCTGCACGCCCCGTCTCCTCTGCGCTGATAAACAACAGGTGTGTTTTCTCCGTAGAAATGCAGTCATGGTTAAGGCAAGGGTAAAATATAAAGCTTGAACGTAGAGCTGAAGTGTTGGCTATTTCGTGCATAACTCCCTCTGTGTGCAGCTGCATCTGCAGCACTAGCTATTGTTAGCTGCCGGCTGCTTTTTTTTTTTGGATAGCCAGCGTTTTTCTTATGGGAAGACTAGACCGCGAAGTTGCTAATGCTAGCCAGCAAAAATGCTAACGATTCACCAACCTCACCTGGAAAATGCGAATAGCTGCTGTTCTCCTGACTTCTGTTTTCATAGGATGCACCTCTGTAGCCAACAGCCCGGCGCTCGTATCGATTTTCTCCAACTGGGATGGCCTGACAGCTGATCCAGGAGCCTGTGACATTGGCAGGTTCACTTCCGCTATGGGGTAAGCCCGCCTCTCCGAACCCCGCAGTAGCCAATGAGGGAGCAGCACTGGGTGGCCACGCCCCCGCCCGCGCACACGGTCAACTTTGGAGGGAAGATAGTGTTGATTTCACATTTTTTACCCTTTGGATTGGCAACTGCAAAGTCTCACGACGTCAAGTTTGATTGGTATTTAAAATTACACGTGATTCAAGTATCACCTTTTCAACGTAAACACATTTCTCAATGGAACAGATCAAACGCGCAACAAAAAAAATAATGGCAACACAAAAGCAGCTGTTGGACAGTGGCTCCCTCTGCTGGACTCCGTATTAGCTTTGTGTTTGTGGTACTTGACTCACAACAGACTAGTGCCAACCCAACCCAACATAAACTTCTATGTGGTAAACCATCACATGCCCAGAGGCATTGGAATCCCATACTAGGACAAACTGTAATAACTCCAAAAGCATTTAACATTAAATAAACTATTACAATACTAATAATGGTGTGACATCCAACACAGAATGAAAGCTGAACGGAAACCTGGTCTTATAACTACAGAGTTCCCTTCTTTCTGTATGACATCATCTAAGTACATAAAGGAATCACTACACCATTCATAAACTTTTGATTTTATTAGAAATAAACATTTTTAATGGGAATAAATCTGTTTGTAATAAAAAAAGTAAATGGAAATTGTTACTCTGCCATATTTAGTTATGTATCCAGATTATACAAGAGCATCCAAAATATCTACTAGTCTCTCCATCTTCTGATAAACTACTGGTATTTTGTACTTATGCTGTCAGTGATGTACAGAGGTGTTATTATAAAGAGATGTTTTAAAAAGCCTGCTTAAATACTACAATTATAAAAAAAACAAAAATTTGTGTAAAAAAACAAAAACATGAATAAATGAATAACCTACATTTGGTTATTTAAAAAAAAGATGTACATAATGTGTACAAAGACAAACCAACAACAGCTAAATCTTAAACATTTTCAACAGTCTGCATCTGTTTATATCAGTAAAATAAGGAAACTTATATCTACCATTGGGACAAATACACTAAGAAAGGCAGCTAAACATCACACAAACTAATAATCTAATTATACACAGACCTGCCTTTGTATGATAACATACCATTTGAAACTAAAATCATTCACACAAACACAATATACAGGTTGTAATTACAAACAGTGCTGAGCATAAATATGCTCATACAGTACATGCTATCACTAATCACAAGAAGGTCTTTGTCTTCATTTTCAGCTTTGAGGAAGCGATCAGGAGAAAAAGATAGAAATGTTTCAGATGACTACGCTGGTGCTGCTATTGGAGCCTCTATCCTACGAGAGAAAGGTGACAAAGTAGTGGTTAGAGTCTAGGAGGCAGATGTGAGGATGAACACATGCAGGCAGAGGGAGAAAACTAAGAGAAAAATAATAACAATATGAATAAGCAACATTTGTGGACACCCCCCGACCTCAAACAGATCACCAATCTGTCATTGGGCCAACACAGAGGGAAACGAAACACTAATAGACTTATGGCTAATGTAGCATCACAAATTAACCTTTCTTTGGATTCCCCACCCTCTTTTTTAAACAAAAACAAAAATTAGACCAACTCTAGCATATCTGAATAAAACCCATAACAACATGTGAGAACATTTAAAAGGTACAAGTGGAAGTCTGAGCCCGCATTAACTGAGAGGGGAAAACCATCAGAAAGTGAAATGATATGCAAACACTGCCGCTAACCTTCCCCAGCATTTACTTTGAATACGAATGCTGATGGTGACAAAAGCTGCTGCTTTTCCTCTGAGTAGCTTCAGGTGCATGTGGTGTGAAGTATCAACATCATAAAGGTCAACAGAGAGCCTCCTCTGAATGTCTCCACATGAGGTAAAGAATCAAATGCAGTCTCCACTGTCTGCTCTTTGCATGATGTCCCTCGTCCCTTTGTGATGAGAAGACATCCCATATTATCCTCTCTGTTGTGTTTATAGCTGTAAGACTCTTTTCTGGCAGGACACCCCTGGCTGTTAAATGAAAAACTAATTCTACAATCATTTTTGCACCTAAATTTACAGCCATTCGCCCTGCAGTTATGAAGTCTAAAAATAACTCTCTAAAACTCCTCTTTAGGAAATGGAAATGTTACTTGAAAACTCACTGGCAACATAACAAGCACATAACTATACAGAAAACAGCTGATTGGATTAAATTAATGTTTTCTGGATCTTTGAACCACAGGTGACAAGATCCTGTGATTTACTTCCATTTAGTAAAACATTCTGTGTGAAATAATCGCTGTTTCCCATACAAAACAACTATTACGGAACTATTTTAGGACACATGAGTCTGCTGAGAGGTGGAGCCACAGTACTAACAGGTTAAAGGAGGACAGCAGAGAAGGCAGGCATAGACTGAAAAGGGGGACACAGCACAGAGACGGACAGAGTGGTCCTCCACCGGGTCAGTGTGTGTTGAACAAGTCGTGTGTGGATCTTACAGAGAGTCGGTTGTAGTTCCTGCGTCCTAAACTGCGCTCAGGTTCGATGGAGTAGTAGCTGGGGGGTTTCTCTGGCCAGCTCTTCCCTTTGTCTGCTTTTTTCCTCCTGCTGTCTTCCTCATCGGAGCTCCAGGCCCCCCCGCGGCGCTGGGGGGGTGAGTAGCTCCTCTCCCTGCGGGCTGCCCTGCTGTGCAGCTCCTCCATCAGGTGGTCGCGGCTGCGGGCGCGCGGCCTGGCGCCGCTTCCTGCCCTCCTCCCGCCGGAGCCCGCCCTCTCGTTCCTGGAGCTGCCGTGCGGGGCTCTTCCCCGCCTGCGCTCCCAGTCCGAGTCCTCGCTGTAATCACGCAAGATCCCCCGGCGGGGGGGCGGGCTTTCTCGGTACCTGCGGCCGTCTCGGGGGAGGCCTCCCGCGGAGCGGCCGGTGCTCCCGCTGGACTGGCTGGACACCCGGGGCGCGGCCCTCGCTCCCTCCCCGCCGGCCGGGAGGCGGCGTGAGGAGAAGCTGGGGCCCCGCTGGATGATCGGGGGCAGAGTGATCACCCTTCTTTCTTCTCCCCTCACCCCCATGTCGTCCAGCGCCGACAGCATGCTGGGGGGCCCTGGAGTGTACTGGACCGCTGGGGGAGTGGACTGGGGCTGCAGGTGGGAATAAGACGCGGGCATGTACTGAACTCCGGGGGGGGCCATCTGCATCTGATGAGCCCCGACATCCATCCCTCTGACCTGGTTTTCCAGGTAGTCCAGCACCTGATTGGTGCCTCTCATGCTGCTGTTCATGTGATGCTGCGGGGGAGGGGGGGGCTGCTGGGGCAGGGCCAGGGGCTGCAGGTGCATGGGAGCCATGGCAAAGTCTTGCTTGTCTGGGTAGTCTTGGTAGGAACCTGAAATGAAGAGCGACATCTCAATGCAGCAGCGGGTTCCTCAGATCTCTGCGGCCAAACCAGACGTCCACATCCAGGGGAATAAAGAAGCTAACCACCATTACCTGAGTACAGTATGGGCACACCCTGGCTGGAAGCGGCGGTGCTGATGGGAGCGTAAATAGGCGGACCGTTCATCCAGGGAGCCATGGCCTTCTGAGCCTCTTTCAGCATCCGGTGTTGCATCACAGCTGAGAGCGTGAAACAGGAGACAGATCGGGGTTTGAGCAGAGGCTTTGTACAGTTTGTTTTATATAGAAGACCAACAATAAATAACAATGTGCATTATAAAGAAAGTAGAGACTGTACACTTAAAAAAATGCCTCTGCTTGTGGATTAATGAGCCCTGAAACTGCAACATCTTAAAAGAAATTCAGTTTTTATTGAGCTTGTCATGTCCTCCCTTTTTCCTCCTGTAACTCATCCCATCATCTCAATCCGTCTGTGACAGATGAAAAAATAAAACAGAACACAGTTTCTATCTTGGGAGAGGAGGTGGAGGAATACAGGCAGCTGTGTGTTCCCCTGGTCAACACACTGAACTGAAACCGCTCGACAGCATCCGCATCAAAGAAACTGAACAAACTCATTGAGGACAATGCGACACACCCACTTCACAAAAACAGGGATTAGCAGCCGAGTGTGTTCGGCTTCGCCAGCTCTACAGGACAAAACGAGGCGTCTCTACCAGAAGAAAGTAACTACACACACACAGGCATTTTGCCTTCATTGAATAATAATTAATTGTTTTTTTCTTCCAATTTTTTCATAGTCGATTCAGTTTACTGCAAATGTCACAGAGATCACATTCAAAACCAACTGGAGTGCTGCATTAACTTCACAGTTACTGATGAAAGCATAACTTTCAGACTTTTATTAAACCCTCTGAATCAAGTTTTTTTAAGGCAACTTGTAAAATTTTTCAATGCTAAATATTTGACCCTTTTAACAGATAGCTCCTTTGGGGGATTATATAGAAATGGGGATAACAGATATGAGAGCCTAAAGGTTTCTTTTGTGGGTTTCCCTCACACTGTGCCATTTCAGACTGTCATCTCAATAAAATGATCAACCTTATCAAACTAAATAAGATGTTCATATCTGAATACATGGTTTATTATGTGTAGGTGAAATATAAATAAAACCTAATGAAACAGTATTAGTCTGAAGAATAAGCACTGACAGTCTAAAAACCAACTACCCTCACAGTTTAAGAATCTCCAACATTGTTTTTTTTTAACTTTCTTTACCTTTAATTTGACTGCTTTTGTTGATTTTTTTTATAATTGTTGTCAAGTTTGAAGTCATATTCTAATATTTCCTTTCATCAATCCGCCAATTATAAATGCACAGAGCTAGCCAGTGTTTAGCACTTTTAAATCTGCTTTTCTTAGATGTGCGGCATCATAGAATAAAGCATTACAATTTTAACTTGGTCTCATGAATCTGCCTGTTATGGCCTGCCAGGATTTCCAAAGACACAAACAAACGGAGAGCTGTTCGCCCACCTTTCTCTGGACAGCAGCAGGTCTGAGGACAGCAGGGGCAGCGGACGTAGCAGCAGCACTTCTGCGGGCAGCACTGACAGCAGCATATGCAGAGGAGCATGATGAGCAGGAGAGCCCCCATGATGATCAGCAGCACGGTGAGCCAGTCTGGAGCGGAGCACAGCCAGCGTTACCGCCACACACCTCTCACACTCTCAGCCTTCACTGCTCCGGCGCTCATCGAGCTAACCGACTACCTGAAAAAAACTTACGGAGCACGATGAGCTTCATCTCCCGGTCCGAGTCCCCGGTTGTGTCCCCAGGAGCATCGACGGAGCAGTAATACATTCCGTTATCCCACCACATCACCTCGTTTATGACCAGGTTGGCCACTGTTAGCAGAAAACATAAACAGCTGCAGTCAAAATGCAAATAAAACTCTTTATAAACAGGAAGCTTAAACATTTTCTAAATAATATTTGAATACGTTTTGAAAGTAACTCTGACATAGTATTTATTTACCAACGCTCTCCTCAGCATTTCTCTGCAGCCATAAAAAGCTCCACTCATTTTTTTCTCTCGTTTTCTTGGACTAAGACTTACAGTTCTGGATGGTAATTTTGCGATTTCTGTACTCCGCCCCCAGCATGGGTTCGTTGATGCCTCTCTTTTGGACCACCGTGCGCACCGTGCGCTGGCTGTCTGGGCAGTCGTCAGCTGGATTCTGACCCAGTTGCAGAGCTGCCTGATACGCTTCAGAAACAGGAGAAAAACAGTACAACAGTTTGGTACCACTTAATGTAGTGCCTAAGCAACTCTTTGCAGTTTTACAATAACATTACATGTTTTCCAATGCAGTTTCCATTCATCTCATTAGTAATTTTAACCTGATTCTTTTTAAACCAAAAAATTTAAAATGTGCAATAGGAAGAAAAACTTTCTTTAACCAGCAGCTATGAGATGAGATTTTGCATTAAAAAAAATGCTACTTCAGTTTTACCAGAGAATGTTGTACAGAAGTGTTTAAAGGGCCCGGAGATGATGCTCTGACCAGGTCTAGAAAAACACAGAACAAGCCTACATGCTTAAATCTTGAAACCTGACACTATAGCAGTAATCTTACTTCACTGGTAATGTGGGATGGTTTCATGGAATTTGGTGCTATTATCATCACATGTTATGTTTTTCTTCTGTCCCCGCTTGACTTATGCTGCTCATGTGGAGGACGACTTAAGAATTTGGTCTAAAACCTCAGTTAAATATGTTCGTAACCTAATCTTGAGAATCAAAATCAACACTGTGGGTTTGAGGTCCGTAGATGTTACTTTGATTAAAAAACAACATTTAAAAATGTTAGAAATGAAATGGCTTCTTTCCTTTTACAAATCCTGATTCACTTAAATTATTTAATCCATCACAAATTCAGTCTCATGCAGCTATTTGACAAGAACTGCCTGAAAGATGGGATCGTGTGTCTCAAGAGGAACTTACTGTCTAAAATAAATAAATAAAAAGAATAGAAAATAAACATGTGAGAGAAGAACTGGATACCCTTTCATTGTTCAGCTGCATTTTTGTACAGCCTGGTTAAAAAAAGCCAGTATTGGAGTATATGCCTCTTTTTTGTGTGAAAATCTATGAATGTGAACGAACATTCCCTCATTCCTCATCTGCAGAACTCGTCTGTCTGCTTTTCAGAGCCTGAATGAGTGAGTATTACACGGTTCGTGGCATCCGTTTAAACGTCCGGCTGCAGCTCGCACAGGTTCTTTACCAAACTGCAGCAGCCCCACGGGGGCCGAGCAACCGACCGCAGCTAAAGTCGGTACTGTGTTCGGTCAGTGTGTTTCCCGCCCACCTCTCAGCGCTCCAGCCGACGGGCTCACCTGCAGAGTAAAACTCCAGCACCGGGTCCTTACAGAAGGACTTGAACCTCCACGTGACCAGGACCTCCTGAGGGTTGGCCGAAGTGGTGTAGTCGCACCGCAGGATCACAGAGGAAAAGAGCATCGTCGTCCTCTCCGTCTCCGTAATCACCACCTGAATGGACAGCAGCTCTGACACACACACAGACGCACGATGAAAGACGAGCAGATGGCAAAACGCACCAATCAGACTCCAGTAACTCTGGCCCGCTGTGGAATTCTGGGCTGATCGAAATCTAGCCAGACAGGTTAACAGTTTACTGAACCAGATTATCATTAACGGTAATAACAACTGTCACTCATGACGTGTGATGCTATATTTGTAAAACATGATGGAAGGAAACCTCTGCTGATGGACACTAATGGATGAGGGTGTGAATCTGACTGTGAGTCAAGCTCTTTCTCGCTAAAATAAGTGACTGAATTCTAAATGTTTCAAAAGGAAGGCTTAAGGATAGAAAATAGGAGCTACTTAAAGGGCGTAGACTTTAGCGCCCGATCGGCCCAAAAGTGGTTTCTTATTCTTTAACATGACCAGAAAATGACAAATAGACATCAATTTAATAGGTGAAGTTGATATCTCTCAAATAGTTATGATGTGAAGCTTTTCAAAGTTGAAATAAGAACATTTTTTGGTCTTAAAAAGACTTTTAAAAAGTCTTTCAGCAGCTGTTTTGAAGATGTTCATTTGAGTACTGTGGACATTTTCACCATTTACTGTTACTTTTTAGAGAAAAGAAAAGATGACAAGAGGACATTTAAGATTTTTGGCTATTCAATATTGGAAATTACAGTAACTGAAGAGAAACTCAGCTGTCATTACAAGAAAATATTTCTGCATATTAATGTATATAACTAAAACCAACAGGTCAATGTTAGGGTTCTGCAATCCAATCTATATTTTAATTTACATAGAATATGCATACATAAATGAGCAGAATCTTAAAATCAGAGGATATTTTGAAAAAATCCATGAAGAGTTCAGGGATACAGGGATTCAGGAAAAACAAATCTGGAATTTAGTTTTTGCTTCATTGCAACATTGACATTGTCTTATTTTATCTTGTGGCCTTGGATCGAAGGCATAGAATCTTAAATATTCTACATGGAAAAAGAAAAAAAGCAATGCATCTTTATAATGACTAATACACCATTACAACATAGGTCCAGTTTCTAGAATTTGCTCTACAACTAATTTAATATTTCTTACAGTTTTTATTGAAAAGAATGTAAAGAACCCGTTCCATTTTTAGATGAATAAGATAGATTCTAATGGCAGAAAAGGGGCTGAGTACATAGGATACGACATTCGGCCTCGACCTGTTTACACCTGTAGATCATTAACCTGCACAGGAACGTTAGTTTCGGCTGTCTGCTATCGGGCTTTCTCTCTGAATTAACGGCTTTAACGTGTGGCAGAGAAAATATTCGTGCTCTGGTTACATCTGAGGGGTAATTTGTGTTCGCTGGCAGGCTTTAGAAGGCTCACCTGTCGGCAGGAGGACCAGCAGCAGCGCCACCAGCGTCATTTTCCCCATTTTGCTGCTCTTTTATCCCTCCGCGGAAGCGCCTCTCTCCTTGTCTAAACCGAGCAAAAGAATCCACAAAAACCCCGAAATTGTTTTGTACAAACGCGTAGCGTGAGCTCTATCCCGCATAACAACCGGGTTTTCACTTAAGAAAGCATTTTTTTTGTTTTTGTCCGTAGCAAAACTCCCGTATTTACAACCGTACGGTGGAACTTTTTCGCAGAGAGGCGGAGGCTGGAGCTCCCTTCCCCCCCCCATCCAGCTTCAGGTGACGTCACTGGCCCCGCCCCCTGCGACAGGTGTAACATGGAGGAAAGTGGAGGTCCTACCCTGTTATTTGAACGGACTACAGCTCACAAACCTTGGAGAAATTTAAGGTTAATACAAAGTGTGGGACACCATATTAAGTTTCGACTGTGTTTTTAGATTCAAATGATGAGATATAACAGATATTTGTGTTTTTTTATTAAAATCAGACAACTGAAAGGCCCATTATGTGAAATGAGCGTGCTCATTTGAAGTTTTTCCAGAATATGTGAAATGGAACTGACAGTGAAGGAACATAAGAAGTAGTTTAAAAAGAGGTTCCGATTTTAACGGTTGTCTTTTGTGGTATTTTCTTAAGCGTTGGATTCATTCCTCGGCTGTATTTAAACATGCTCTTCACAAGTTGAGAGCCTGCGTGAGAGAAAGGAGGCCTCTTTGTTATCTGAATGCCAACTGAGTGAAGTGGGAGCAGCTCCACTTTTGATTCATTTGTTTGTGTCCGTCTGTATGAGTGTAAAGTTCACTCTCAGGATGAGTCATGTTTTACAAGCGTTGGAGCTCTTTGTGGAGGATGTTTACGTCTCTTATGGTGGACAGGAACCCCTGCCAGCATCAACGTAAGAAAGCAAACAAACAACACAAACCAAGCCTGTCTGAGTTGGACTCCACTGCTGATAGCCGCTCACTCAAGTGTGCTCGAAAATAATTGGAAAAAAATGCTGCCAAAATGAAAAGCTGTTTTGGCTCCACACTCCGCCTGGCAAATTCTCAGTTCCTTCTTTATCAATTTTCTTATGAGAACATGCAGTACTCTTCAGTTTGCGTGTCCTGATACATTGTTCGTGCTGAATATAAACACTGTAAAAAGCAGACTGTGCTATCATGATCCTAGATCCTGTTTGGTTAAAAAAATCTAAAAGAATAACGATCACAAAAATGCTGCCAAAGCTTCCTTTTTTTTCTTTTTTAGAAATGTGTGTTTAAACAACGATGAAAAGCACAAGTTTTGCCCAAAGCATGCATCACAGTTATCAGACAAATACAAAACAGACTTTAGGGCAGACATGGTTGAGTTTAATTTAAAAATGCATTTTACCATAAAAGTAGTAAAGTGTTTGAGAAGCAAGTATTTCAAACATAACTTAGGCTCCAGCCAAAAGAATGAAGAGGGACACTTTAATTACAAAATCCTAATGTGGACATACCCTGCAGCTTTGAATTCAACTTTTGGCTCAATGTAAGATATTTTTACACTGTTAGTTTGCTTAGTAACTGAATTCAAGAATTTTCCAGACTGTACAAGTCATGTTCAAAATTCTAAATGAGAGTATTTTAAAGTATATTTAAGCATAATTTCCTGCACGAGTGGCAAATGGCATATCCGTCTTTGGACACTGAACTATGAAAAAAAGTGAAAGGATTGGGTGAAACATGCTTAACACCGAACACAGTACACATGTCACTTAGTGATAACATCTTTTTCAAAACTCCAAATGACTGAACACTTCATGTAGGAAATGTTACAATTTTGGGCGACTTTTCCTTCAGTTAGATTACTGAAATTTGTTTTAATTACATGGACAAAAACGCTTTCTATATTTCTGCACCAATGGAATTATAATGAAATTACTTATTTTAAGCAAACAACTATCTGTAATTGATGAGTTCAATAAACTAGTTAATTATTTAGGATTATTGACATTTCTTCCTTTTACTGAAGTGGGAAACTGGATGAATGAAAATTATTTGCAGCCTTCAAGCCATGACCTTCCACAGTTAATAATCATTGCTAGGGGTGTCTTTTTCCATTTAGTTAAAGTAGCATCAGTCACACACAGGTGATTTGATTTGCACCTTTTCATATAATGATTAAGGTACTTTTTCATCTGTGGGATACTCTCATTAAGGGGGAAACAGACAGGCTGTGGCCCAAATTGTTTTTAAAAAAGAAAATCGGAAAAAAAAAGAAGTGACACATTGGAAGTCAACTTGGCACACAAACAGGTAAAGATAAGGCAGAAAGACAGAAGAACGATGCTGTAAACATTTCTGATAAACAAGCTATTCAGAGCAAATGGACCACTTATTCAGAAAAAAGAGTAGAACACTGACCAATTTAACTCTACTCTAGAGAGATTTAGGAACTGACGGGAATACATGAGGTGGAAACTATATCAGCGTAAAACGAAAGCAGTTCTGTCTGTTGAAAAACTTTTTCAAGTAATAAAGACGAGAAAGCAAATAAAAAAGGCAATCCAGTCCAGCCCTTTTATCAGCAAAGTATGAACCACATTAAGGGTTTTTTCACTCCACTTCCAAGGACTACACGTTGAATATTTAATCCGAACAGCCTCCAGATGCAAGTCCAAGATCAATACAGTCAGCAGAAAACATTTAATCCTTTTAGCATGAAAAATGTACTGTGTTGTTTCATTTGCAGTATTTTTGAGTAAATGAGCATCTCTTCTCCACAGAGCAGGTTGGTGGAGTCAGACTCATGGACACAGAATTAAGATTCCTGCTTGTTTTGAGTTGACTTCAATAGTGTCCCCTTTGGCTTGGATTTAATGATGTAATGATGAAAGGCTGCACTCCCTGCTTTCTGCTCATCATGCGTTCATGTCAAAGAGTCAAGACTTGAGGAGGGATGTTTGCTTTAATTTCTTTCTTTTTTTAAGTATCTAAGTAGTGCAATAACTGGGGAAAAAATTCCAGGTGCGGTGCTGACATATTGCCACAAGATGAACAGGCACATGCAAAAATACACTCTAAACCTGAGTCGCAAAGCACTGAGGCAGAAGTGTGAAGACCGGAGGCTGCTTAGTGGTACGTCAGGCTATCCTCAAATTCTGCTAGCAACAATATTAATAAGAATGATATAAAAAAAATAAAAAAAAACATCATGGCACCGGCGTGAGTTCAGCTCAACATATTAGACAAATAAAACACACATGTACACGTCATCTGTAAAATGCAAACGTAGAAATACATACAACTTGGGAGGACATCGGCAAACAAATTTTAGTCTCTGTGGGCTTCCCATCCCCGACAGCTGTTTTCTGAGTGAGGTTATGTCAGAGTGATGGAGCAGGCCTCATGCAGCCGATGGCGGAGCGGTTAGTGTCTGCGTGGCCGCAGGACGGTTACAGTGAAGGGACAGCAGCACTGGGCAGGTGGAGGCTGGGGGAGCCCGCTCACACTACCAGAGTGTCCCTGCTCAGTGCAGTGCTCTGTTAGGGGGAAATACACCGAGAGAGCCACATGTTAAGAGACGCCCATGCTGGGTTAGTTTAGCCCGAAATGTAGTCGGAGACACAGGAGTCATGCAGCTGCCGTGCCAGTGAACGCACCTCCGCTTTCAGAAGGAAAAAAACAAAACAACAAACAAAAGAGGATTTTGAGTCTTTCAAAATGCAGAAAAAGATTTGTAATAATGTGATGGTGGTTAGAAAAGTCGGAATTTACAGATCAAGACGTTGCTTAAGTTTTAGATTTATATAAAAAATGCTACCATTATATACATGAACTCGTTCAAAAATTAACATAATGACACAGTTTTAAGACCAATCCGCAATGCAAATTTAAAAAGAGACAGAAACACTGTTAGAGTCCATAATACTGTAAGACATCTTCAGATTTCAGAAGGCACAGCTAATTTTTTCTTATTGCCAACAAAGATCACCTAAGAAACTAAACTTATGTTCCAACCAAAGAAGATTTAAAGTCTACAGTGGGGCAAAAAAGTATTTAGTCAGCCACCAATTGTGCAAGTTCTCCCACTTAAAAAGATGACAGATGCCTGTCATTTTCATCATAAGTCAACCTCAACTATGAGAGACAAAATGAGGGAAAAAAATCCAGAAGATCATATTGTCTGATTTTTTAAGAATTTATTAGCAAATTATGGTGGAAAATAAGTATTTGGTCACCTACAAACAAGCAAGATTTCTGGCTCTCACAGACCTGTAACTTCTTCTTTAAGAGGCTCCTCTGTCCCCCACTCGTTACCTGTATTAATGGTACCTGTTTTAACTCGTTATCAGTATAAAAGACCCCTTTCCACAACCTTAAACAGTCACACTCCAAACTCCACTATGGCCAAGACCAAAGAGCTGTCGAAGGACACCAGAAACAAAGTTGTATACCTGCACTGGGCTGGGAAGACTGAATCTCTAATCAGTAAGCAGTTAGGTGTGAAGAAATCAACAGTGGGAGCAATTATTAGAAAATGGCAGACCTACAAGACCACTAATAATCTCCATCGATCTGGGGCTCCACGCAAGATCTCACCCCGTGGGGTCAAAATGATCACAAGAACGGTGAGCAAGAATCCCAGAACCACACGGGGGGACCTAGTGAATGACCTGCTGAGAGCTGGGACCAAGGTAACAAAGCCTACCATCAGAAACACACTACGCCGCCAGGGACTCAAATCCTGCGGTGCCAGACGTGTCCCCCTGCTTAAACCAGTCCATCTCCAGGCACGTCTGAAGTTTGCTAGAGAACATTTGGATGATCCAGAGGAGGATTGGGAGAATGTCCTATGGTCAGATGAAACCAAAGTAGAACTTTTTGGTAAAAACGCAACTCGTCGTGTTTGGAGGAAGAAGAATGCGGAGTTGCATCCAAAGAACACCATACCTACTGTGAAGCATGGGGGTGGAAACGTCATGCTTTGGGGCTGTTTTTCTGCAAAGGGACCAGGACGATTGACCCGTGTGAAGGAGAGAATGAATGGGGCCATGTACCGTGATATTTTGAGTGAAAACCTCCTTCCATCAGCAAGGGCACTGAAGATGAAACGGGGCTGGGTCTTTCAGTATGACAATGATCCCAAACACACTGCCCGGGCAACAAAGGAGTGGCTTCGTAAAAAGCATTTCAAGGTCCTGGAGTGGCCTAGCCAGTCTCCAGATCTAAACCCCATCGAAAATCTTTGGAGGGAGTTGAAATTCTGTGTTGCCCAACGACAGCCCCAAAACATCACTGCTCTAGAAGAGATCTGCATGGAGGAATGGGCCAAAATACCAGCAACTGTGTGTGAGAACCTGGTGAAGACTTCTAGAAAACGTTTGACCTCTGTCATTGCCAACAAAGGGTATATAACAAAGTATTGATATGGACTTTTGTTTTTGACCAAATACTTATTTTCCACCATAATTTGCAAATAAATTCTTAAAAAATCAGACAATATGATCTTCTGGATTTTTTTCCCTCATTTTGTCTCTCATAGTTGAGGTTGACTTATGATGAAAATGACAGGCATCTGTCATCTTTTTAAGTGGGAGAACTTGCGCAATTGGTGGCTGACTAAATACTTTTTTGCCCCACTGTACATGTCTTCTTTTATCCACTTGGAGGCAGCAGAACCAACTATAGTCAATGATGAGCACAGCGCATGATAAAACAGAGGCTTTTTGTCCACTTAAACCTGACTTAACCTGGCAGTCGGTTTTATTCTTAGTCTTTTAGGTGACATTCTAATGGATTTCAGACCCAAATCATATTTTGTGCTCCATGTTTTGTCCTCCGTCTTGTTGGAAATAATCAGTACTAATTCAGTCATTTTACGGAAACTCACATTTGATACAGAACCAAAATACTCACGCTGGAGAGACAAAACAATAAGCTGAAGGACAACGCTGCAAAGAGGAATGTGGTGTAAAAGGAAAACACTGGGAACAAAAGCCCTCACTGGACTCTAACAGCAGACACATGTAGGTCACCAGGGCACAGTATCACAGACGCATTATAAAAGGGGTCTCTGGGAACTAAACTGTAAAGGCTCCCCAGCAGAGGGGACCTCCAGAGTTTTTGTGTCACTTTATGGCTGTTTTCAGCTTCTTTTTGCGTGTGGCTTTTGTTCCTTTCAACATGACGTTTTCATTGTCCTTGATGGTATTTTTGTGCCTAAAAACGGTCATTGTATGTCTCTTCTCATTCTGTTTCAATTGGTCCAATTTTAACTCTACATCTCGGCAACCAGATTTAAATCTGATGACTTAGTGTCACATTTGAATAATTTTAAGTCTCTTAAATTTCGACTTTGCCACTGTTGGTCATCTGAAATATTTTTGAGATGGTGGTGTGTCACTTTTTTTCTTTTATCTTTAATTTCTTGCCATCTTTCTCCTCTTATTGTTGTCACTTCCATTTAATTAACATCTCTTTATCTATGCCGGTTTTTGGCTTCTGCTTTTCTGGCCTTTAACTAAACAAGCCATCATAAGAGATGGACCAGCTCTTTTCTTGAACTTCTGTTGACAGTAAGAAAAACATGGGCTGTTATCAGACGTTTCCTGCAGATGTTTACAGGATACAGAGGATAGGTTCCTGAGGGGTCGAACAGGAAGGAAGTCCTTGTTCCTGCTACAAGTAACTCACCAGGTTTCGACTCCTGTCCCGCTCCTCCCTGCCCCCCTGTAATGTGTGGGACATGGCCGGGTGGGGCCGGTGGTGCGAGGGGGGCCTTGTGGGCTCGGTGGTCCTGTATCTCTCTGATCTGGGGTGGTCTGCGGTGCGGTACCGCTCTGAGGTCAGGTCGGCCCTGCGGTACCGCTCGGCCTCTCGCTCCGAATATGGGGGCAGAGCGTCCTCCTCGTCTGGACGGTTGCTGGGCGACCGGCTGTAGTAACTATCACTGCCTTTGCCTCTGGAGCTGCCTTTGGAGGGAGTGTCACTGTCCTCGTCCGCCCTCCCGGCGCCCCTGTCCCAGCCACGCCCCCTCGCCTTCCTCTCCAGCGCTCGGTTGAGAAGGTCGTCGTCGTAGCTCCTGCTCTGGGGGGGTCTGGAGGGCCGGTCACTGTCCCACGTGTCCCTTCTCTTCCGCGGCGAAGGAGAGGGGCTTCGGCGGCCCCAGCCGTCCTCGTCGTCTTGGTAGAATCGCCTGGGAGGGCTGTGATCGCGCTCATACGGCCGGTCAGGGGGCCCGGCCCGGCGACCACGGGGGTCGTAAGACCGAGCAAATTCCTCAAGCTCGTCCAGAGAGCCAGTGCGCCCTCTCCTGCCCAGTGTTTTCCTCTGCAGGTGCTCCGACACGGGATTCCACCTGCAGGAGGACGCATGAGAAAAAACACATTCTAGAGCATGCACGGGTCACTAAGGATGAAAATCGGCCCGTCCCGACTGAAACATCCACCTGCGGTCCAGCTCATCATCTGAGTGGTTGCATCTGTCTCGCCTGGGCCTTCGACCAGTCTGAGGGGCCGTTCGCAGCCGCTCGTCGTGGTCCGCAATTGGCGGGAGTGCCTTCATCTGGACCGTCTGATAGGTGTGTCTGAAATCTGTGTTCCCTCCATCGTGAAGGGAGCTCAGCTCTGACAAGCTGCTGGCTGTTCACAACAGACACACAACAGCGATGACACACGGTGTGGGGCGCAGAGTCAATTACAGGAAGTCAGTTCAACTTGTCACATTTGGGTTCTGCTACAATCTAAAGTGATTTTTTTTAATGCATTTTTATGTATATTTCCATTCACACTTTTTATATTAGGGCCATGTAAAACGTTTCTTGTCAGTGTGTGTCTACTATGAGGCCAAGAGGTCAAGTTAAAAACAATGCAATGTCCTCATATGAGGATGGAGGGCCTTAGTCCTTGTTATCATTCAGATAGAACAAAAAAGGCAAGGTAAAAATAAAAAAACATCTCTCTCCATGAACCATGTTCTTCCAAACTTCAACTTCATAACGTCGAAACATAGGTGAAACAAAAACAGCCACACCACGTTAGATGTTATGAGCCAAACAATAGGATTAGATGCAAGTTTAAACTAGTTACCTCACACAGATGATGCACAGAGAGCGGACGCAGAAACACACACACACACATGCGCGCAGTGCCACACATCAGAAGGAAACGGCCCTAATCTGTGCAGGCTTACGTTTGAATGAGGCCATCGTGTTGGAGGGAAACTGAGCCAGCTCCTTCTCAATGTAGTACAGAACTTTCATTGAGTCCTGGTCTGGATTGGCTGTCAGTCTGTAGCCACTGCGCACTGTGGACGTTGGACACACACACCCATACACACACATGCATACACACCAACACATGAGCATGCGATGACACACCCGCGAAATGCATGGTCAGGAAAAACGAATGACATTACGGGGAAACTAACAAACAGGCACGAGACAGAGAGACAGACTCAAGGATGAGAGATCAGATGAGGGTTAGTCGAGTCAGTATGGGCTGTTTACTGATTTCTGCCTGAAAATGGACCCCTCAGGGGGCGGGGATTTAAAAAAAAAAACATTTGTTCACCTCCAGCCAGGTTGTTCTCCACTGAGGGGACAGAGTTGATCTTTGGTTCCAGATGGGATGAAGGTGCGAGCGGGACCACTGTAGGAACGCCGGGAATGTAGTACGGATACGCAGGAAGCTGAGAGGGCTGCCGGTTCTTTGCCATCTTCCCCGCCTCGTACACTGCAGGGAGTCAGACGAGCGGCGGTGAGGCTCCGGCGGAGACGGGGGGGCGGGCGCGGCGGCCGGCGGTACTCACGGTGGCGCGGGCAGCAGCAGGTGTCCGGGCAGCAGCAGCAGCGGACGTAGCAGCAGCAGGAGTGAGGACAGCACTGGCACCAGCAGATCCCCAGCAGCAGCAGGAACAGCACGCTGCCCAGCACCACGGCGCCCACGAAGGCCCACTCTGAGGGACAAAGCAGGGATGTCACGCACACAGCGAGGGTCAAAGGGCATCCGTGGGTTATTATTATGGCTGTCATTAGATGGTCATAATGCATACTGGTCACAAATCAGTATCAGTCTGACCGCTTCCAGGACGAATGCCCAAACAAGCAAAAATTAACTTAAAAGGAAATAAAAAAGTCAAATAAGAAAACTCATCCCAACTTCCAGACTAGCTGCAGGCTTTACCTAACGTGTAAAAACTTTTCTTTCTTTTTTTTTACTTCTGCCATAAAATGCTTTAAACACATTTTTGCCCCTATACAAACATGTTAACACTAAGGTAAAGTTGAGATTTTTGGGTAGTCAGCCACATTTGAACATTCGGAGGTTCTGCACAGAGGATGAAAATCAGTTGTTGAGAAAAATTGTAAAGGTTTTTTGATTCTTAGTCCTACAATCTAAGTGTGCCAGCTGCCTTGATATATTAAAAGTTTAGGCTTAGATTTATTCATAAGGCCAACTACCACACAAGGTATTTGTTTTGTTTTTACCTATAAAGGAATAAATGGATGTGGACAAGATTTGATAAGGTTTTAAGAAAAATCAGGGGTTACGGCAAATTGACAGGACAAAAAGAAAACAGTTTGGTACACCACTTAAAGTCATGGATACACTCTGATCCCCATTGCCCCAAACACTTGAGCATCATGACTCAAATTTCGAGACTGTATCTCTTACAGCTTCTGAATAAAATGTGTTCACCACACGTTATCATCTTTCCTTCTCACCAGCTCAAAAACCTGGTGTGCCTCCCGATTGCATTGATTTTGTTTAAAGCTTTCTTGTCATATTCCAAAGATATTTTGGGGAAATCTTTTTCTTCCAATGCCAGAGCAAATTATTCTGACTTGTTATGCATTTAGAGATAGCAGAGCTCTAAAACAGGAGAGCTTTGAGTAACTTTTATCCATCACCACATCTCAAAGTCACCCAGACCCTAACAAAACACTTCCTCAGGCAAAATGCACACAAAAGAATTTTTAATGTGAACGCATGCTTCAAGGATACCTCAAGTTTCAATCGTACCACAAGTTAATCAGAATTCCCCTCATTCTTAACAGCAGGAAAAAGATCAGCGCTTGTCTGTTATTCAAAGAGTGTTTTCATTGGTCAGTGAGAGTGAAGCTTCAGGAGGCGTTAGAGATGCAGGAAAATGCCGGGCAGCAGGAATGTGCAGCTGAGAGGCCGTACCTGGCATAATCTCCACATCAAACTCAGGTAGTAGATCACTCTGTTCACTTGTCCTACCTGCAGAGAGAGGGAGAGCACAGGTGAAGGCCGGCAGAGGAAGCAGGAAGCAGGAGGCCAAAAGTTCAGGCAAATAAGCAAATTTGGTAGCAGAGTAGACGATTAATGATCATGCACTGACAGAGAAACTGAAAGAAGTAGGTTCTTACACAATCACCATGTAACAAGACATGAAAGAGACAACAATGATTCTTCAAATTGTAGTTGTATGACCACGTTTCCACAATTAGACTTTAGCATTGGTGTGTCAAACAGCAAATCCATCCAATCCATGCAAATCAAGAACAAAACACTGCTTTTTCAGCATTCTGAAGCAAAACACAAAGAGCTGCTCGTCTAGTGCTGTCCGTACAGAGTTGTTGTCAGAACTGACTTTTACTAAATTAAAAATCACACAACAATGCAATCGAGCAAATGGAATGGGGCACAAACTCCCACATTAGGTTAAAATGACTGCTTTTGTTGGGGGAGTCTGGTAATGCCATATCCAGTTATTCCCCACTGACAGCAGCACCTCAAAGACACTAAACCACTACTTTAGAAGGCCAGTGTCAAACAAATACAACAGCACCACAAAGAAGAATTATTTTTGCCACACAGACTGAAACATCCAAACAACTGTGCCTTGGATTGCCTTGGCGTTTGGAGCAATCCCATTAAAGAAAAGAATCATGTTTGCAACTTTAAGGTTGACAAACCGTACACTTGACCATTCTGGAGATTATACAGTGCTAACAGGCTACGCTACCAGAGAGGCCATCACACAAATTTTAAGATTTGACTCAATGACAATTATAACATCACAGCATGCTGACTTTACACTTCTATTCAGCTAAACACTATTATATGACACGCCGTGGATTTCTTGAAAATAAAATGTGGTCGTAAATCATCTTCAGAACTGTATGTTGACATATTTAGCAGACGCTTTTATCCAAAGCGACTTCCAACATCCTACATAACAACTGAGGTAGGCTTAGAACTGTTCACTCATACACAGGAACATAAAGATAGAGTCAGAATGCTAAACTAAACTTTCCTTTTCCTTGTTATCCACACAGAGAGTGGGGGAAGAATGAATGCACATGCTGTTATGCACTCCTTACATGCACACAGACAACGTTTAAGATCTGCCAACAGAGGCAGTGCAACACAACAAACGGTGGGTTTTGGAAACTGGGGCACAGAGCAATTACGGGGCAACAATTTACCACGGCAACTCATCAAAAAAAGGTTGTGCGAGTGGCGTTTGAATTAAACAATGTGCCCTTTGTGCATTATGTGCAACATAAAGAGGTCAAAAACACTGACGTTAATTTAAAAAACTTTTGTGCGCAGAGGCTGAGACAGAACTGCAGGTGTTTGTCGTTGCATGTGCTAATTATGAGATTGAGATAGGCTGTTATTACAGAGAAGAGCAGAGAGTGTCTGATCCACCTGACTACACGGATAGACTAAACACTACTGTCACCCAAGAATGAGCTGAGTAAGCTGCCAGCATTAGGAGAAAAAACAGTAATCTTGCTGCTTTGGCCTTGCACACTCATCTACAGTCTACATACCAACCGTAACACTGAGTAACCTGAGAGGGGGGGAGAGCATGGAAGGTTGATGAGGAGTGAGTAATGGAGGAGCGCTGGAAGAGAATTAGCAAGAAAAAAAGGGTGAACAAGTGTGTAAAAGGCAAAGAAGTCTGAAAGTGCAGAAAATGTAAGTCTCATTATAAACCTAAAGTCGGGGACACTAATACATAAAGAAATGGCAAAGTTTCTCTGTGCGTAAAATTAATTGTTTGGAGCAACAAACAACAGTAAATTAATAAGATTTTCATTCTTTTTAGAAATATGAAATGGAACAAAGTATTGGAATAGGATGTTTTGTATTTGGCCTAGTTTATACAGGTGCAGAGGCAGAGATCTGTTGGTCAGGATTTCCATCACAAATGTTTCAAATCACAAGCCAAAGTAATTAAAAGATTAGAAACTGTGCTTTCCTTTTTTTCCCTCCCTGACGAGTAAACACCCCCACATGACAAATATAAAAGCAAAGCGAGCCGCCAGTTGATGTAGCAAACCTCTCAATCGCAGATGCTGAAATCATCAGCAAGGGCCGCTGGTTTTGATGAGAGTTCCCGGGTTGCATTTGTAACATGCGTTTTACAAGTTTGCAAGTTTGTCTCAACATTTTTCACTTACTCAAATGAGTTTTTTTTTTATTCTGCATATGAAAAAAAATGAGCGCTATAAATTGGCATTTTGAAGTCCATCTCAGAGCCTTGCAGAAGATCTTGCAAATCCAGTCAATTAGCTACAGTAAAAAAAAACTACAAATTATTTTTGTGTCCAAACTCAGCCAGTCATTTTATTCCCTCCTCTCCCCTGTGAGCTGGTTCTAATCAGATTAGTGCAGTGGAGAAGAGCTTTTTGAAGGAACATCGGGTCAGAAAAAAAACCTTTCCAGATAACACTGGTGCGAGACTTCAGCTCAGTGCTGACCTTTTGTACACCTATTTAGTGTCCCCCTGTCCATCCAAGAAGTCTCATTACCACGGCAACATCTTAACAAGTGCTTTTGACAGCTGTCTTCACAATCTTTCTCGCTCGGTGGACCACAAGTTCACCGTAGCTGATAATTCACTGACTTTTAGCAGCGAAATGTTAGCAGCAGGATGTGGATTTGGAAGCTTTGTGCAATCATTAACCCGTAGCACACCTTACCCAGCCACCAAACATTACACAGAAAGTTGCCCCGTCGAGCTGCTGAAGATACAGTCCCTCAGACTGCCGCTATAGAGCCCGACAGACTTAAGATTTCCCAGTGCAGCCAAATGCACATCAGCCCTTTAAAGGGCCCGGCTGGCTAAACAATGGGGTCTGTCATGGGGGATCAGGACCATGTAAAGGGGCACACATTATTTTAGCTGTTTCCATGGAGGCTGCTGTATGGACACTCGGGAATGCCCAACAATGAAGAGAACTTCACAAGCAGCACATGGCAAGCAGCTTTACTCACCTCAAAATGCACACAAACAAACCCAGGAATAACGAGAGAGAATCCAGGTTGTGTAAACATTTGCGTTGTTACATTAGCAGATATAAAGTCTGACCGTACCAAGCACCAGCAGCTCCAGCTGAGCCTCATTCTTCCCCTCCAGATCGTCCGCAATAACAACTTTACAGAAGTACACTCCACTGTCGCCCCACTGCAGCTCACCGATGCGTAGGTCAGCTTCTGCACAGACATTAGTACATTCATACAGGATTTGTGTGAAAAGGTCAGAAACGCACACAAAAATATGTGAATGTTAGAGTGCTGCATCTGTAAAACCCCACTGAACTCTGCTGTCAACAGAAAACCCGTGTTTACTCCCGATAAGGCCGGGCTCCACACATGAATGGAAGCCAGAGGAGGGGGCTGGGGTCATGTGACCGGTTCCTTTTTATTGTGAGGCTACAACAAAAGAGATTTCTTTTTGGGAGTGCTCAGTGAGCTCTGATTCATGTGTGGCGGTCACACAGCTGCAGCAGCTCCTTATCCACCTGTTCCTGTCTGTGGTGGAGGAAAAGGCCGATAAGCTTACTGTTTATGATGGTGATGTCTCTGCCTTTGTAATGTTCGGCCAGCGTCAGCGAGGCCCCCTGCGCCGACGCCACCACCCGGACCGTGCGGCTGCTGTCGGAGCATTCCAGGTGGGACGTGGCTCCCAGCTCGGAGGCTTTGATGCCCAGAGTCTCGGGAAGTGTGAAGGAATCCCGGGTGCGGTCCCGACAGTAGGACTTGTACCACCACTGCACCACCGGGGCCTGAATGGAGGCCGTCTGGTACTGACACGGCAGGACCACCGACTGGAAGAGCATCGCAAATCGCTGTTTCTCCCGGACCGTGACGTGGACCCCATCACACACGCAGACTGAAACACACATGCAGACAGAAAAAAAAGGAAGAAGATGCCAATGAATGCTTTTCACACTGACACCTCTCCTCAGAGGACCCCATCCAAGATGTTCACTAGACCTCATTACACCAGAAAATCAGTTGAAATGCTACACTTAAGTTCAATTATTAGGGCAGATGTACTTCGCCTGTGTGTGTTGAACTTTTTCTATAATTTCACATGCAAGATGCACTCATACACACCTGACAGCTGTGGCTAAAGGTCCAGTGTGCAGTGCAGCGTGGACCCTAAAATAATTTCTAATATAGAGAAAAGAACTAAAATAATTGTTCCAGAATGAAAAAAATGTGCAAATAAACCCAGACTGAATGATTAAATATTTCCTCGAAATGCAAGAAAGCTGCATAAAACACCCAATGTTACCGGCAGTAGTCTGCAGTTTAGTGTGAAAGACAGTAAAATGAAATTAAATGAAAAATTAGACCTCATTATAATATAGCACTCTTAAATAAAAATATAAGTTTCTTGAACGTGTACTGCATTTTGAAACACGTAAATCTTAAAACAGCTCATGCTTCTTGAATTTTAAGAAGATTTATCACAACAGACGAATGATTACAATTAGAATTGTATCAAGTGTAGCTTTCAACAACTGAAATATTACTAACCCTAAACCCAGAAATATTTAAAAATGGCAACCACAAATATATATTTCTAAGTTTTCAGATATAGATCAACTACAGCCAATAAAAACATTTTTTTTTAGGTATTAAACACCCCCATAAAAAAGGCTGAGCATACCTAAGAAACCAGCAACTGAGCGTATATGAAATCGGCCTGAGGATGTCAATTACAGCTTTATTACAGTAGAAACAGCTACTAATCGTGCACATGATTCATGATTATAAACTGTAATTTGCATCCACTGAAAACAGGACCAAAGGCAGAGTCAGAGATTAGGTGTGCGGGGGACTCCGCTGCTGCTCGATATGGAGGTCAGGAGGTTAAATTCCACTGTGCGTGGGGGGCTGGGGAGATCTGTAGAGAGGCAGGGGGTTGTCATCGCACAGGGAGGGGATACAGATGCTCACGGGCAATTTTCTGTTAGTCATATTTGCTCTAGGTGGGGCAGGAACTCAGTCTAAACATTTCCCTGAAGACCGGAAATCAAAACAAAAGCAAGTTCACCAGCCTGCGTCTCCTTAGGCCCAGTGAGAGGAGCACACACCCTGTGTTTAACACACTTACGTCAAATGAAAGCTGTTTCCCCTCTGATTTAACATCAAGCCTGCTCATTGACGGCCACAATTAAGAAAGTATCTAACAAAATTAAAACTCTTTAGTGTTTAAATCCTCAGAAAATAGTGGGAAAAAAAGGATCCATTTAGCCATGGTTTACCTTGTGGAGCAAACTTTAAAGATATTCTTTAAAGGGGGGGGGGGCACTTTCATGAAAGTGGAATAAATTAGAATACCAATCAACCTTTAGAAAAAAATCTTATCCTGTTACAGCTTCTCAAAGTTTTAAATATGATGGTTTTAATGGCTTTCGAACAAAGCTTATCAACTATTTCTGAAGATTTGAATAATTTCTGGTGAATTTGTCAGATAGAATATTACAGAAGAGCTTCAGATAATTCCTGGTGAGTAATTGTTTAAACCACTGCACTTATAACTGCTGACCTATTTTCCAATTTGCTACCAGGGCAGTCAGTCGTGCATCCTCTGAAATCTGCGGTGCCCGCACCATCTTAGCATCCACTGCAGGCAGGGGGGATCCTAAATTCCTGCTGCACAGAAGTAGCCGTCTTCCTTTTGTTTTCTTTTTCATGGAGTAGCCCCCCCGCCTCCCACTTGAGGAACTGAGAGGGGGAGGAAGTCTCAGATGCTTAACCAATGGGAGTGTCCAACTTCGTTGAGCTGGATGCGAACAGACCAATTAACGGCTCCAGATTTAAACCAAACCGTTACTCCATCAGCTACATCGATGCCTTCACTTTGAAGTGTGAGGAGGTTTCTGGAGACTACCGGAGAACCGGCAGGAAGGCCTCAGGAACACACCTGTTGACCTCCTGTTTACTGTGGCTCACTGTATGTTAATGGCCAGGTAACGGCCTCGTCCCGGTCACCTGCCATCCCAGTAAAGGCCTCATCTCAGGATTAGATCAGCCATTATGACAGTGTGAGGGATTCCAGGTCACGGCTCTGCTGCTGCTGGTGCGTTTCCTGAACACGGTCAGTCTTTTCCTCTCCAAAGCTCGTCACATTTCCTGCCTTTACTTTGCAGTGCATTCTTTCACATTGACTCATTCCAACAAAAGTGATAAGTCTTAATATAGTCTCCACATTGATAACGGTTTTTCTCAGCATTTTCACACGTTTTCACAACTTTCAGAAGCTTGCTAAGAGAGCGTCTTACTGTCAGAAGTGAATGCAATCCCATCTTCTTTTCCAGCTCTCTTTGGAGCTGAAGTGCACCTGAACAATGGCCTGCCTCGTTTTTCCCTTAGTGCAAGTAATTTTTTTATGTGGCCGAAAAGTTAAATAATAACTGACAAGAAGCAGAGATCTGCAGTGTTTTGGAGAACGATTCCGAAGTGGGACATCAGTTTTAAGTACTGAAGCATTCAAACACCGAAAAGTGAAACAATAACCTGCAGCCACATCAGGCAAAACTGTCCGTCTAATTAAAGCACCCCAAAGAATATCAACGACACCTTATTGAGTACCACTGGGGGAAACGGTCAAGGAAGATTTGGGTTGCCCCCACAAATTCCCAGTGTGGCAACTGACTGGTAAAAAAACATCCTAAACCGTTATAATTAATAAGAAATCTGTACTATTTGATGGCATGACGTCATAAACATAAAGCATAAGCAGACACTTTGCCAGCGGATCAGGGATAAGCTGAAGTTTACCCGGGCTCAACCTGTTGCCCGTTACCGCGACCACAACGCCTTTTTTTTGCATTTCAAAAAGGAAGTTAAACTCACCTGATACTCCCAGTAAAATAACCAGCCGGTACAAGTTCATTATATTGAGCGGGGTTTTGTTTTTTTTATCGTAAAGGAGAGCTTCTCCGCCTGTTCCTCATGTCGGTGCCCGCTATGACTGCGGCTGCTCCGGGGAAGCGGACTCTGGCAGCTTCTAACGGGACTGTACCACTTCAGGGAGAGGTGAGTCCCAGGGGAAGCCCTCTCGAAGCCCTGCGTACAGTCCGACGTCGCGGCGAGCCGGTTTTAACAAGTTCCTGTGCTCCACGGGAACAGAAGTCTGTTTATGTGGAGAAGGGAGGGGTGGTGGCTGATTTATGAAACCAGGACAGTGCTATTGAAGTTATTTATTAGGAATTTCACTGCGGACAAATGGTTTTACCCAGTCTCTGCATATCTTTATTAGGCCTCATCCAGACATGAAATTCGTACAATCAGCAAGTAACTCAAAAACTTCTTAAAATGTAAAAAATATTTAGATTCATATGATGATTTTTCTTAATTGGTCTTTAAAGCATTTACAAAATTTTCAGGAGCAATGATTACCTCAAATTGTGTGATCTAATTGAGAGTCTACACCCTAGTTTGACATACAAGGAGGAAACATCATGTGAAAGGTAATTACAACGTAGATTCTTACCATCTATACATTCATTACAACCGTAGGTATAAGGTCTTAAAAAGTAACACAAAAAGATTTTTTGAATAAAGTTTTTAATGCACTTGAAAGTTATTAATCTAAGTAGGAAGTTTTGAAATTCTCTCTGTGAGCTGCACAGTTCACGTTAGCAAAAACAAAGACTAACAAAAATGATTCAATTTATGAAACCAAAAAAGAAGGCTTTCAATTCAAGAGTGCAGGATTGCCATGAACAAGACGACTGGAAATATCAAAATGATTATCAACAAAGTACATGTGTTATTACTATAGGGAAGTCCAGAAAAGCCATGTCTGAAAATATTTTTAATGTCTTATTTTATATTTAAGATTGGGGGTAAATTATCTTTTTCCTGAAGCTAATGAAGTTCCTTTGGATGAAAGTTTGTGATAATACAGTAGAACCTCTACATACGAATTCAATTCGATCTGGGACCTACTTCGTTTGTTAAAATAATTGTGTGTTGGTTCAAATATTCCAATAAGAAAACACTGTAATTCGTATAATTCGTTCCACAGCCCAAAAACCCACCATAACTCCAACCAACGATGTGTAAAAAGAAATTATCAATTATAAGGGGTATTTATTGGCAATTTACCTTTGAGAGTGGCAAAGGGAGGTTTAGGCTTAGCCATGCAGGACTGAGATACAGTACGTAACTCTAACGTTCACTATGTGAACTTTAAACTAACTTAGCTTATTTATTTTCATTTCATTTTTTATTTAATTTTTGTCTATGACTTCGACGTCTTTGACGTATGTTGGAAATTTACTTTGGGTGTCTAGTCAAATATTTGATCAAATTTGACTTTGGATGTTGGAAAATTCGTATGTTTAGGCAATCGTAAGTAGAGGTTTTACTGTACTGAAAGCATAAATCTTTTCTTTTTTTACTCTGCTTTTATAAAATGTATTTCATATGTGACTGGTCTACAAAAGACATGTATAAAACAGTGCAGAATCAACCAACTTTAAGTTTTCATCTATCAACTGTAATCGAGGCGATCGCGACTACCGTGTCGTTCACGATGATCGTCGAGGCGATCGCGACTACCGTATCGGTCACGATGATCGTCAAGGCGATCCCGACTACCGTATCGGTCACGATGATCGTCTAGGCGATCGCGACTACCGTATCCGTCACGATGATCTTCAAGGCGATCACGACTACCATATCGGTCACGATGATTGTCGAGATGATCGCGACTACCATATCGGTCACGATTATCATCGAGGCGATCGCGACTGCCGTAACGTTCACGATGGTCGTTGAGGTGATCGCGACTACCATTGCGTTCGCGATTGTCGAGGCGATCGCGACTGCCAGTGGGTTCACGATGATCGAGGCGATCACGACTGCCATAGCGTTCATGATCATCGTCGAGACGATCACGACTGCCAGTGGGTCGACGATGATCGTCGAGATGGTCACGACTCCCATAACATTTAGGATGATCAGCGAGACGATCACGGCTACCCTTTGCGTCATCTCTCTCTTTACTACTTTTATAACTATACTGGTCATCATCAATCTTTAGTCCTGCTCCAGCTAAGCCGTAAATGCTCTTAGGAACAACGTTTTTGTCTTCATTCTGGTTGTCCTGTTTATTCTCGCTGTTTGATACATCATCCAAGTATTTTTTTCCACCTTCAGCATCATCTCTGTCTTGAAACTCCATTTCCGCCTGGGCACTTAAACAAAAACAAGACACAACACATACATTTGGATGGTTAGATGCGTACTATCTTTCTGACTCACTTAGTTACTGACAGTAGTACACCAAGAACAAAACATTAAGGAGATGCTTGACCTACTCTTCAGCATAATACTCCTTTTTGCCCTTCCTCCGGCAGCAAAAAAATATCACGATCCCCAGAACCAGTAGACCTGCAATAACCCCTCCAATTATACCTGCTGTTGAGCCCATGTTCATGCTGCCTGTAAATAAAACAGCAAAGACCAAACACTCAGTGCAAGGCTTAGGTTTCCAGTCAAAAAGTCTTTGCTTATGCATTTTAAAAATAGTCAATTCCCCATATTTGTAGTACACACAGTAGACATCCGCACAGTATTTCTTAGTTTAGATAGTTTTTACGGACCACACAATGTTTTCTTTTTCACACAGTTTATGCTTTTACCCAGCATTTTTTTAACTGGACCTGAACAGAACAATGCAAACATAGGAAGAGCCTTTCAAACATAACATTTTAGTGCACTTCCAAATAATTCCTTTTGTGAAAGTGGCAGCCTAGTAACAGCAAAAGAATCGCAAAGCTGAATGTTTTCTGTGTATATGCTGCAAACAGATGAGCACAAAAATAATCTTAAAAGACTCACTTGGCATCACAGCTAAGGAAAAGTTGCAACTTTTAGACCCAATCTCATTTTCTGATTTGCAGATGAAGTACCCCGATGTCTCTCTTGAGATATTGAAGAGAGATAAAACTCCATCCTCTGCAACACAATCACAAAATATACCTTTGAACAACTGTGAAATCAGTCGTAAACAATCACTGAGGTTATCGGCAACCAATCCACAGCGCCCTGAAATATACAAATTATTCAGATATATGGAAGATGGAATGCAAACCTTGAGTTGTCTTTGGTGGAAACTGTCTTTGAATGTTCTCAATGCTGTAACTTGTCCACTGATGTACTGGTAGTGGGGACCCCTCCTCAGACTTGCAGGTGAGTGTGATGTCGTGAAAATACTCTGCTTTTCCTTGAAGTGTACAGACTGGTGGAGATGGAGGCACTAGGAGAGAAAGAGTTCGGTACAGACACCATCAATATGATGGACAAAAGGAAAGCGCTAAATGAAAATACAAGACCAGAGCAATGACCCCAATCACGGTATGTAAAGGAAAACAACAAATTAATTAAATTCATGGTTGTAAATCTGATTTTGCAACTGAGTTGTCAGCAAATAATATTTTAGTTCTAGTACATTTCAATACTAGAAAACAGGATGGATTGAAGTTGATACTGTCGAAAATTATAAGTGAATTACACCGCCTTTAACAAAGCAGAAGATGAAAACATAATGCCCTCTGAAAAAGGTTTATGAAGTCAAATGCATTACAAATTCATTATGCCTGAAAAAGTCTACATTTTGTTGAGATGTCAAGATCTATGGACAAAGAGCTGTTCAAACAAGATGGCCAAAGAACCTGACAAAAACAGAAACTTTCTGTATAAAAAAAAGACAAAATCCCCCACCAAACATTTACAACTTTGGCTTTTGCAAAAAGCATTTATTATGTGATAATTTACACATGGTCATGTTATAAAGTTCAATGTTCGTACGCTAAAGGAGCCATAACTACATCCATGTGTTGATTCTCACCCAGCACCAAAAGGTTAGTAGTGTCGGCTGTTTGTCCTTCATCATCTCCAGGTATTTTGACACTGCACTGGTAGTTTCGGCTGTCCTGTATGGTCACCTCTGTAAATTGGAGTGTGCTTGATTTAATTTCCATGTTAACTTCCATGAACACCCTGCCTTCATAAGTAGGTGAAATATCAACGGGGTTGTTGAGGAAGTAGGTAGCCACAGTTTTCTGGAGAAGAAAGCACAACATACGATTTATGAAAAGGACAAAGCAGGTTTAATATCTAAGTTGAATCAGTTAAATTTGGGGTATACTAAATATAAAAATGGTATAACATTTTGTGCTTTATTCTGACCTATTCATACATACAATGTCTGTTAAAGGAGTGCAGATTTTAATTTTCTTTCTTGTTTTTTGCATGGCCTCAGTACTGTTACAGCACATTCTTGGGGTTAGATACTATTATGCTTCAAAGTTTTGACAACTGAATGAAAAAATCTGAGTCTGTAAAGTGGAAAAAGGCCCAGAATATTTTTAACAAAGCAAATCCAACTCATTCACTTATTCATCACTCCTCGAACAAAGGTAATTATAATTCCACGAAACACGTCATACCCAATAAACCCTCGAAGCCTTTTAATAATTTACTCATGTGGATCATTGTCAGTTTGAAGATGGAATTAAGCAATAGAACGGTGAGAATATTTTCTTTTCAGTTTAGATTCTAAGAAATCGTTAATACAATTAACAGAATATTTGCAACAGCAGAGAGCTTAATGACTCTTCCACATTCTGTGAGAAGCAACTGAAATGCACTTCATCATTAAATCTCTTGGTTTCTGTATTTTGTTTTTTAATTCTCACTAACAAACTTGCAATTTTCCAGAAAATACCATCTTTTGCAGATGATTGTACATCTTACCAGTGGATCCCCACTGACGTCAGGGTAGGCTTCCCATGTGAGGATAAAGTTGTTTCCAATAGGAACAGCTGGGTTAAAATCACAGGTCAATGTGATCTCATTTCCTTTTGCAACTTTATAAAGCTTATTTTGGATAGAAACCTGCAAACTCCAGCAGCAGGGAACCACTGGAAATAAAGAAAACGTTTTAAAAACACCAAAGCACATTTTTTCCCACTCATGATTACTTCTACTGCCACATCCATCAATAATGTAATCTTCAGGTCAAGAGAAACCTTGCCTGTTAACATTGTTCAATTTTTCTTTAACCAACACGTCTTCTGTGTAAAACGTGAACCTGCTTCCTGTGGAATAGTAAAGGAAATGGGTTGATGATTAACTGAGACGACGATACCATAAAGGTGTGGTTGCAGTTGTAGGAAAGAGAAAGAATACAGGCATAAAGCTTACCTGTGAGTACAAGAAGTAATCTTGGCCACCCAACTTGCCTTCTTGTTGTCATGTTTTTTTCTAGAGATAACAAAAACATCCAGCTATTAAAAATTAAAAAACCCGATGTTCCTTCGGAACGAGTGGAGGACCGCCTAACCTTCACGATGAACTCCCTGAAATGGAGAAGTTGCCAGGTAATAAGTGAACAATACGGGTCACATGTCATCAAAGATCCAATCAGTGATCTGTTTTCGATTGTGAGTGTGTGAAGTGTTTAATTTGGTATCAGTTAAACAGGAACCTATCAAGTACTCCCATCTTTGCAAATGGTGACCCATTTTTCACTTAAATAAACAAATATACGAGAAATTCCACTTTAAGTAAAGATATTATTTCACATCTGTCAAATGAGATGAGCCAGTGCTACATGGGTTCTTATCAAATATCTATTAAAAAAGAAATAATATATCTAGCTTTCATGACTGAGTATATTCCACAACCCGATGTTCCTACAAGAGCTAAAACATTTTTAAAAAATAGCAATACCAGTGTCAAACATCATTCAGTTAAAAGTAAACAAATCCAGAGGTCTTTGAAACACCAGAACCAGCATGCTACAGGAATCAGTGGATAGAGTAGACTTAAGGCATTTTCCCGAACACCCTCACGAGAAACTTCTAAATTACATTAGGTCAGTCAATGTTCTTGAATACAACCTGTAGATAAAGCTATGGAATAGGCTCCACATTCTAACCCTTTACTGCCCCTCTGTACAGATAGGTAGGTAGATATAACGTTGTTCACCCTGTGAAACTGTAACAGCTTCAGCTCTTCTGGGAAGGCTGCCCTCAAAGTTTTAAGCTGTGTTTATGGGAGTTTTTGACAATTCTGCCAGCAGCACATTTGTGAGGTCATACACTGATATTTGACGAGAAGGCCGTGGTCACAGTCTAACTCCTGCAGCGTTCAGGGTTCTTTTCACTGGAACTGAGGGGCCGAGCCTAGCTCCTGAAAAACAAACCCACACCAAAATATTCCCTCCACCAAAACTTTACACATGGCACAATACAGTCAAACAAGTACAGTTCTCATAGCAACCACCAAACCCAGACTCGTCCATCGGATTGCCAGAAAACGTGCCTCTGCTGTGAAAAAGCCTGCATGCCTGGGTGCCTGACTGAGGCTTGGAAGTGATTGGAATACCTGATTTAGATTATTTGGATGGATGTGCGGATATGGAGGTGCATGGGCCTGCAGCCATGCGGTGGATCAGCAGCCGTCGTTGTGCTTTGTTTGGCCTGCAGGCTGCAGTATTGCATTCACAATCACGCAGCATGTCTCCAAATCAAAACTGAAAGGTGTACCTGCTATCTTTATACATGCTACCTGAAAAAGGTCAGAAATGTAAGAAAAAGCAGAACAAACTTCAACCTTCCGTCTTCCGTCTTGCTCTGTGGTTATTTAGGTGTGGTTACTGGATGTAGCCCTCAAATGAGTGTGGCGGGTCATTCGGAGGCTTTGGTGGCAGATTCAGTCTCAGATCTCAGCAGGAACACAGCGCCCAAAGGGTGAAAAAACGTCTGCTGAAGTGTTCAATCTTTCACCTTCAGGCTAAGTCTTTTGATTCTATCTGCAGCTGCTGTGAAACAGAGCTGCTTCTTCTTCAAGGAAATGCATGGACAAACCACCATTACAATACGCTAAACAGGTAAACCTACAGTGGTTTTAATTCTTACATTTCTTTCAAACACTGATGGAAAACTATTCTTCATATGAAATTCCAAATTGTAAAAATAGTAATATAAAAGAAGAGATGTTTTCAATAGAGCTGTGCTGGACAACATATACAGATAGGAAAGAAAAAGAAGATAACAGAACATAATGAATGATTTGAACACAGTTTGAACTGATAATAGTAAAAAGACAACATGCCCTACATTGGTATTTAATTGGTTTCATTGCTCATCACAACAACACATTTTTCTCCCCAAAAATTCAGGCTGGGTTTGCTTATCACGGTGTTGCAACACCTCTTGTCTAAACAACTTCCCATCAGAGGTTTTATTTACTGAGGACACAACTTGAACTTTTTCATGCTTGAAATAGTTCTTTGCATCTGTGTGACAGACTGCGTTCCCTGACAGCGATTTACAAAAGTCCTCCTGAGCTCGTGGTGATTTTGAATCCAGAAAACATTGCTAATGGCGACAAAATGTATGTGTCTGACTCTTTTCTTTCTTTTTGCTTGGAAGAAAAATAAATTAGATCATAGGTGCTACAGCAAACATCTGGATCTGGTCTGCTCCCTTGTTATTCCGATGCAGATAGCTGATACATTTGCCTCCAACAGAGTCTGCTTGTTATTATGTTTTCAAAGTAACAAACCTGATCCAATCATCATACCTTACACTAATGAGGCACTGTCTTTCTCCGAATCTGCTGATTAATCAAAAATCTAAATGTCCATTTTTTCTGTGTATCTTAACTTCTTTTTAGAAACTTTACTTCTTTTTTAAAACTTTTTTTTAAAGCTAAGCTAGACCTGCGTGACCCTCTCCTTACCAATAGAGAGCCTGCAGATCACAGCCAGCCACTGATTTTTAACCTTGAGGAGAATACATGAGTCCTCTGAATCATGCATGTGGACCTCAGTCATAAAATATTAACAAACTGGGTTAGATTTAATTGCAGGAAACAAAATTCATTAATTGAAAAATTCTCACACATCCTGTCACAGTGGCTGGATCTTCACTTTTTATTTAAAGATGATTTAAACTTTTTGGATTTCTTAAAAAAAGAAAGAAAAAAGAACTCACTCATGTTACAGACCTGTTGGCAGTTCTCCCATTTATTTTCATTTAAATACCTTTTTCAGTCTTCAAATTTGTCTGTTACAATGTGATAAATGTTAAGTTGTATTTGATGTAATAAGTTGCTTTAAATCTCCAGCGACATCTCACTGTTGGCCTGTGTGATAAGGCAGACCTCACTCGCCCTCAGGCCACAATATTTCTGGGTAGCACAATGAAATGAGAAGCAATCGTTGCTGTCACATGGATGAATTGACAGTTTGTTCTAATAGAAATTCAAAACTGAGAGGTAAAAATAATTTGCTAATGAAACGTGATTCTTGCTGGGCTTGTCTAGCACAACAGTCACTCCAAGGAGATGAGGGGTAATGTGGAAGGTCAGGGGATATAAATCAATAATGACTGAAATATCACATTTGACAAGTATAAATAACCCATTTAAACCCAAGTAGCAGTGATAAACTGACTCTTTCTATTTTAATGTGTCACTCTAAAATTACTAAAAAAAGATGTTCATGAAAGAATCAAATTTAATTGCCCAAACATGAAATGCTAATAAATACAGTAAAGTTAACCAAAATATACGGTTATCCCAATATCATCCAAGTATATAAATATACTATTAAATTGCAATAAATACAATGTGAAATTAAAATAAACACAAAAATAGAAGACATTTTTTTTTTTAAAGTATGAAGAAATTTTGTAAAGCAACTTAGTGCATAAATGTCGATAGAACTTCACTGCATGCAGGTTTACCAGAGATGAAAAAGGCCATTATTAATGTTGCCAGTAAGAAATCAAAGGTTTGGCTTTGTTAGTTTTTGGATTCAATGGTATCCGTGCTCTTGCCAAGGGCTTGTTCACACCTTTGTCTTGGCAGCAGTGCTGAAAAAAGATTTATAGAGATTTAGGAGAACATCTGCTGCTTTCAAGAACATATCATTTACAGAAACCCTCATAACAATACAAAACCACATTCTTCACATAACCACGACAAAGAGGGTACGGGTCCTGGCTTGACCAGCGTCCAATCCTGACCTATCCTCCAAAGAAAATGGTGTTAACGTTTTTTCAGGTTGCAAATGAGCAAAAATAGTTATAATTTTTGTATTTATATATATTCAATAGTACGTATCGAATCGTAACGTGTTTGTGTCTCTGCGTCGCTTTGTTCCTGTTGTCTTGTTGACCCATGTGTGTCTTTCCTAGCATTGCTGGGAGTCAGGATTTGATACATGAAACCGAGCGTCACATTCTCTGCATGGGTAAACATAATTGGACAATTAATGCACGATTAACTTCAAGTCATGACAGTATTAAACTGAAATATCACATGGCACATTGCCCGACCACAGCAACCAAGGCCACATTTTTAGGCAGTGACGTGGGACATGCTGCAGTTGTTGCAGTGCAGCAGTCACGCCGGCCCCCTGTCAAATTTGCAATTATTAAAATTACCAAAGTCAGGTGACCTGCAGCGATTGTGCGACTTTCACTGAACTCTATTAACTGCCTTCGGGTTGTTTAATGAAGTGAAAAAAATATTTATGCAGTATTTATGCCTGAGGGAGTTAAATGCTTGTTACGTTACTTTAGATTAGTTCTTATACAATGATTTCAGACTCAGTGTTTACTAAGATGTGTTAAAAAAACAAAGAACAAAGAGTCAATCGTATGCCTTTTTTTCCAGTGAACAGTTAGAACCTGTTAAGCCTCTGTTCATTTGGGTGGAAGCATAACTTGATCTCTAAGCTGTAAAATGCTAGGCTGAAGTATTTGTGACTTTGTGGGAAAAGGTTTTTGATAGAAATATCAGGAACGGTCTCTCTGCTGTACATCCTGACATGTTATAGAAATCAAAGTGTCTTTTTTCTGTCAAGGAAAAAAAAGTAATAGTTTATGTAGAAACATTTTCAGTGGTTTTGGGGTAATTATTTTTCCGTCTACAAACATATCCAAAGAAATATACTTGAAATTACTGACTGGACTAAAAATATCATTTTCATCAACAGATCAACAACTTCAGATCACAGTATCATTATTTGGGGGGGGTGACAGGTTGACAGTTCATCTCCACAGAGACAAACAACCACACACAGTCATATGCACTCCTTGGGGAAATTTACAGTGTTCTATTAATCAAACATGGATTATTTTAGAGGGTGGGAGGAACCGATTACCCACAGGGAACCCAGACAGAGCGAGAACATAGAAACACCACAAAGGAAAGACCTTGATCCACTGGGGATTTGAACCAGGAACCCATTTGCTGTGCCACCCTATATGACAATACACTGTTTAATGATGTATTGAATAGACACAATGCCAAAACAAAGCCCTTTTGTTTCTAAA